GTGTTCAGTCTTTAATATGACTGCACGCCTCTTAATTATTATAATGTGTTTGGAAGATTGGAGCCAGTTGCCACCTGGCAGCAGTCCTCCAATAACTGCTGTGCCCTTGTCTTTAAAACAAAAAGTGGATATGGATAGGCAAGCCAAGGACATTCAGCCATGTTTAGAGCAGTAGGAGCTTGCCAGAGGAATAACAGCACTTACCATGGGAGTTCGGCTCTGGCAGTGTCTCTCTGGCAACCAAGTGCATGACAGTTGTTCGGCCAGGGGGCAACTTCAGAGCTATTCAACAGAGAAGTTACATACTGAATATCAGCACACAACTTGGTCACTCTGCGCAGTAAAAACACAGCTTCTGACCTACAGCATATTTGAACAACTTCCACTGTCCTTTTTTGTCCACAAAAATGTGTAATGGTATCTAGAGCAAGGCAAAGTAACGGAGACACACAGTGACGGACATGAAGGCGAGGTCTAGTGCTCACCTCCTAGTGTGACATTGCCATGCAGGAAGCGGCCCTGGAAGATCAGCCTCAGGATGCTGGGGCTGCTCACGCTCTCCTCCTCCCAGCCTGCAACACAGGACATCACATTCACTACAGAAACAGGCTTTCATGATGCTTTACTATGAAAAAAAATTATCATATCTTGACCATAATTTGTATGTTACCACAGATGAAATGCAGTGGAAATTAGCAATAAGTAAATATTTTCTCCATACATCTGCGAATGAGAAAAATACACTACCATTCAAAAGTTTAGGGTCAGTAAGATTGTTTCTGAAAAAAAGTCTCCTCCTCAAGAGACTTCTACATTTATCTGATCAAAAATAACAGTAAAAATAGTGATATCATAAAACATTTTTACAATTTAAATAATTGTTTTCTATTTAACACTAACGTAATTTATTCCTGCAATGGCAAAAGCTGAATTATCAGCAGCCATTACTCTAGTCACGTGATCCTTCAGAAATGATTCTAATATGCTGATTTGCTGCTCAAAATACATTTCTTATTGTTATCAATGTTGAAAACAGATGTGGCGCCTGAGAAAACAGATTTCTCAAGCGTTCTCAGATTTCTCAACTTTTTTTTATAGGAAATAGAACAGCATTTATTTGAAAGACAAACCTCTTTTTATCAATTTAATGCATCCTTATTGAAAAAAAAAAAAAACAGTAGTTTAACAGTAGTGTAGATATTTTAAAGTGACTGTTCCCTCAAATTCTGTAAATGTCATAATTTCTTACAACTAGGACAGTTGTTTTTGCATTGGACCTCCACATGTTTAAAATATGTTATATGCATAAAAAAAGTGTGTTAAATACTAATACAATACTTAAACAACAAATACAACTTCAACAAAAGCTAAAATTATATAATCAAAATATACCTGCTGGCCAGTTCTCAAAAACATGCCGGGCAATGTCTGTGGCGGAGTCATTTGGAGAGAAAGTGAAATCCTGCGTCTTCCCACTCACAAGGATCAGCCGTAGACTCACCTGTAGTCGGTTGAAAGGAGAGAGAAAACAAATGAAATCATTAAACTGTGAAGAAGTGCCCTACAACCCAGAGACAGAAATACATTTCCACCAAATAGACCTTAATGACCATTCAATCTGTGCTCACCCCACACAACATGAGACGACCTGGGGAGTCCTTTGCAGAAACAGGCATTCCTTCCTAATTAGATTTATGTTCGGCTTTAAGGGTGAAACTAGCTGCTACACACTTTAAAGGTTCCTGTGAAATGGTCTGGTGGGGGGGGTGCTACTGCCTTTCCATGTTTCCATGTAGTGATGCTCTCCCCCCTCCTTTCCTAGGCACCCCGTCATCCTAATGCGATAACCCCAGGTGTCCCAGACAACCCAGGACTGAGTTATTAAATTTACATGGCCCATGCATAACCCCTTGCAGGAGGAGGGGAGCAGCACAGTGGATTAGCACAATAAATTAGTTTCAAGCGCGAGTCCTAATGAAAAAAAACCAACAGACAGACACAATGCCTCTACAGTCGGTATTAATAACACCACAAAGCTTTCTGCCACAGGCCAACACACGCTTCATGACAGTTTTCATACATCTAAGAGATACATCATACATTTACTGCCTCAATAATAAGGATTATTTGATTTTTACTGCCAACATCCATCCATCCATCGCCAAACCTTACTGAACTCATTCTAATCGATTGTTCCAAAACTACATTCACAAAATATTCACACAATTTTGACTTTTTACAATTTTACTGTGGTTTTAAATTTAAATCAGTACAGTTTGCAATAATATTCATTCAAAAGTTTAAGATTTGCAATAATGACACACATACTTGATTTAGGCTGAATAAATTTGGCAGACTCTTCTTTGAAACTAAGCAGCATCATAAGACTCAATGTCTGAACAGAAAAGACACAGAGTGCTACTATGTCAGCCCAAAAATAAAATCTGACCAGGAACTGAGTACCTTAGATATTCAGTTTTTTTTAAATCCAGGGTTTAAACGTCCCTTTTCTCCTTTCACGGTTTTCAATGACTGCAATTTAAACATTACATCACCCACAGTCAGTGTGTGGAGCTTGGCTGGGCCTTAATGCTTTCGTTCAGAATCAGATGGAGAAAGAGGAGGGGGGCGCGAGACAGAAGGGGGGGGGGGGGGGGGGGGGGGGGGGGGGTCCTGTTGGTCCTGGCATTGCTGTGTTTAAAGCCACATACAACACCAAGCACAAAAACTAAAGAAAACAAGCTTCATGGAGACAATGCGACCAATCAGAGGACCAGAGAAACTTTCGCCATTGCTTCTGAGGAAATGAAAGTGAAAAGAGACACACAGTTCCTCTAAAAGTGTGTAAATACAACTTAGCACAACTGCTTATATTAGTACTGAATTATTCAAATTGTGTCAAACATGCTAAATGGTAATATAAACATTATGTGGATCCAGCTCATTAGCAGCCCAGGTCATGACCCAAATAGTGGCAGCAATCAAATAACATGACAGGAAAAGGACGACCTCTTCCCAACACAAAGCTGTGCTCATCCTCTCACACCACGTGCCACCTAAATCCTAAGGGCCCCCCAATGCCCTGCCCTAACCTATTGTGAAACCAGGCTCCTTTGCTGAGGGCATTTGCAATGTAGGGCACCCCACCCCCAATCAGACACACTTGAAAATATTCGGCTTTCACCTATGGGGACCTGCAGTGAGAACAAAAGAGGTCAAGCCATAATCCACCACGTCATTCCAGCACACTGTTTACAAACACCAAGCCCCCGATAAAGGCATGGAAAGCCCTCTCCCAGCCTCCTCGGGTGGATTTAAGGGTGTTATCAGCAAATCTGTGACGGGTAATACAGACAAGAGAACATAAACAAATAAGCACTCCCTGCTGCCCCATTTCTTAAAGCCTCGAAAAATACAAAACACCAAAGCTGCCTAAATGCCTCAGAACCAGTACGTAAACACCTCAATAATCTCACAGTTTATATATTTTCTGCAATATCTTCAATCCTGTTGCTTTCATCCCCAAATCAAGAGCCTAAAGTCATCACCATTTGCCCCCACCCTCAAATAACGGCACTAAACCCAACGCTGAACCAAACAGGTTCAGCAAACAACAACAACTCTCAAGGCAACAGCAGGTCTGTGAGTGCAACATAAAAGCTTCGTTTTATAACCTCAGCCTCAAAAAAAAGTTCAGATTTGCAACTTCTCTAATGTACACCCATTTTAGCACTAACAAGAACAGGTCAGCTATTTTTAATATTGTTTGCAGGTTATTTTACATAGTATTAAGTAATTTATTAATTAATATTTTGAATTGGCTTTTATATTTTAAATTTTCCGTTTTTAACCAAGTTTTAGTCATCTGTTGCAACCTTTTGTCCGTTTTTTATATTTAGCACGGACTTATTTTTGTTTCAGTTATAGTTTTTCCATCTAATATTTATTTCAGTTTTATTTCAATAAACAGAATCCTTTTTTCACCATCGTTTTAGTTACCAAAACTAACAGGAAAAGTTTACTCATATCCGAGACTAAACTAATGAAATCGTATAAACAAACAAACAGTGTAGATAGGTCATATTTAGGGAAATGCAAGGGGGAAAAAACACATCACATACCTTTGCTCTATATGCCTTTAAGCAAAACTAGTGTTTGCATTACTGGAACAGCTTTATATATCAGCTTGAGACCGAATCGGTGTTAGAAATTCAGATCTGCCTGCAAATCAAATCAGACACCAAACCAGGATGACCTCGACTGTTCAGCAGGAAAAAATATAAAATATCCAAAATCAAAGAAGCATCAAAACGATGATACACATACCATTAAACAAGAGATGTGTCTAGTTTATGAGGCGAAGAGCTGTGAAAGGCTGTAGGAGCAGAGAAACAGTGCGCGCGACCGCTGGCCTTGAGCTGGAATAATTTCTGACTGCGGCAAAATAAAGAGGAACTAAAACGACCGTTTCGATCGAGTCACAGGCGGCTATCAGATCCAGAGCGGTCGTTTGATGGTCCAGGGCTTTTCTCAAACACTAGCTGATGGGTATATCCATCGTTCAATCAGATCAGATCTGGCTAAACTCGCTCGCAGCGTTCGAGCAGATTAATGGCTGAGAATTTAAAGACACCGGAAGTCAGCTGGCCATATATGCAGGAAACTGCGCGCAAGGCTTTCTGGGACTTGTAGGTTTGAGGCAATTCTCCATTTTGATCGCACCTTGCAGAACGGCAGTCATTTCACATGCTGTGTGAAAGGAATGTGGGTTTTCCTTTCTATAGATAAAAAGTAATAAATATAAAATATTTTAAAACATAAATGTTTAACTTCCTCATGTCAATAGGTTAAACATGCAATCAAATTCAAAATTTAGGATGATAAATTGGAATATCTCTTCCATATGAAAATCCTTATAGAATTTAATTCAATTAAAAAAATCTTCCTTTTTTCTTTCATTCTAAAAGAAGGCTATGCACAACTGAATGACAATACTTGGCATGTTTATTTGATGACAGCATAGCACATAATAAAGGCACATTAAGTAGGCTATTTACATAGGAAAGCTGAAGTGTGTAATTTGTTTTAAAGTTAAAATACTTTCTTCTATCTCATCTTAATATGCAGATACAAGTAAAAGTCAGCCATTACCCAAATCCACGTTTAAGCATCCAATCAAGCCCAACACAGCAACACTGGCTCAACCAATGGTGCGAGTTTGGGGTGGGACTATCTGGGAGCATTTTGTGAAAACAAAAACTATTTTTGCAATTCCATTGGGTGACATCAGTGGCACAGAAATTTCACACTTCAGCTTTAAAGAGCAAATATATACATGGATATTAAACAACAAGTCTTACAACACAGTAAACAGTAATGTCTGTTATATTACAGTATACACACCAATAGAGCTATTCAGTCATCATGTCAATTTGTAAGCCAATCCAGAAGCTTGTTAAGCAAGTTCTATTTTTAAAAAATATATTTCTCTCAAATTTTAGGTATTATTTATGTGGTAACTTTCCAAGTAAGGTTCCACTTATTCATATTCGTTAACGAAGCATTAGCATAAACCAACAATGAAATGAGTTCCTTTAATATTATTTAATTAACCTGAGCTAACAAGTAATGTAAACAACAGACCTTATTTTACTCAATCAAAAATTCCCATAGGAATGCCAGAGGGAATACATGCCTGTAAAATTCTTTTCCAGGATTTAGGACTTCAAACCGAACAGCTCTATACCTCTGAAAGAGTGAGAAAAAGCTAGTCACAGCATTGAGTCATGAAAAGCCATCACTTCTGAGGAAATGTAGGCTACAGTAATACCCATTAGGGTCTGTATTATAAGAGGAGAATGTCTCTTCAAAGTGAATACTACCGACTCTCAACTTTGTAACAGATATGATTTTCAATAAACTGGAACAAACAGTTCCAGCTCAACTACACAGCAGCATTGTGTAAACATTAATTGTAAAACAGGCTTAAAAGTTACAATATTTGCAGCAAACGGTAATGCTTTTTGGAAAATAAACTGTACAAATAACTCTGTTTAGTGTAAAGTGCCATAAATTACTCGGTTCATGTCAATAACATATACCATATCTCAGCAGCATACGGAAAAAGCCACCAAAGTCACAAATCTCCATAATCTCCACCATCAAATCTACTTTTCCTTAAAGAAAAAAGCATGTACATTGCAATGTTTTTACAAAAAACATTATGAAAACAGCATAAACTATGTCATCTTAAGAAGATAATTAGAATGGGAAAAAATTGTGTGAAAAATAAGAGCACTTAGATGCTGATGCTCAAAATGAAAGAAGTACTAATTTTGTTACGCAAGTAAAAAAACAAGACTCCTTTCCAGAAAAAGACAATAAGGAATGTCTGTTTCTGCTATTAAGCACATTTAAGACAATGAGGGTTTCCTATTTTACATCCCAAATATGTACAGCTCAGTAGAGAAAACTGTGCCAAAATGTATTGTTGGTACTAAAGAAGCCAAAAATATGTCAAACATATTACAGTAACATTAACAATAAATACATTTTCCTCCCGCTGGTACATAAATACATTTACAAAAATATACAAGAACATACTTTTACAAATAGAAAACTACTGACAAAATCCAAGATAGTTTTAAAAATATTTTTCATGTATCACTTTCCCCAATCATGTCAAGTTTATAAAATTAAGTACTACAAGGGCGTTTTGATTTCAAAACAATAATGCACATGCTATTTTACACTCTCTCAGTTCTCTCTGGTCCAATAAAAATATATTGGGTTTGTTCACACAGCACACAAATCTAATTTGGTCTTTAAATGTGAATTTTCTGACTGTGCTCACTATCATTTTGCAAAGGATGAATTCTGATCTGTTTGCCTAAACTGGATACTATAGTAATGATGTAAGTGCCAGCATAATGGAAAGGGACTCATTTACTACATGGTGAATGTGACAGTGTGATATATGAGTAAATGTGGCTGAGGTCCACAGTATGTGTGTCCACAGTAAATGTGGTTGTGGACGTCCTTCATGGCCACATTTACTACATAGTGAATGTGACAGTGTGATATACGAGTAAATGTGGACATGAAGGACATTAAACAAATGTCATGTCATAAATAATAAAAAAATAAAAACTTGAGTTGGCTACGCCCAATGAGATTTTTGCTGCCTGTTTAAACAAAGCCTATGAATAACATTCCCATTCACTGAGAGAGAAAGAAGTCACACTAAATGACCACCCACAGGCAGAGACACCCTGTTCACAAACATTTTTTCAAGCGTAACAGTTCTGCCCCATCTCTGATCTGTCAACATGTGCATACAAAGCACATGGAGGACTAGACAGAATTATTTTTCATAATGAAGCCTAGACATACATAAGTAGCACTGTTACAGAACCATTATACACTGACACAAGGTAAACGATTAGCAAGAAATACACAGTTTACCTACTGAATAAAAATGGTTGAGTGAAGCCATTTTTGTCAGTTTTCAATGCAGACTTCAGAAGAATTATAAGGTGCAAAAGTGAAACTGCAGCCATTTACAAAACCGGTTGTAATGTGGCTGCCATACCAATCCAGCTGCTCTTCTTAAGGTGTGGTCCCCTCACTCTCATCTTCAGTCAGGTAGATTGGTTTCTTTCCTTGGAAAATTGGCTCAAATTTTTCTGGGGAATTGTTTTTTCCCTCAGAGCTGTGCTTTATTCCATATGCAAAATAAATAATAAAACCTAAGAGAGACAAAGGTATGAAGTCAACCTTTCAAGCACAGTACAATGAAAAACTAAAAAACACCCATGATAGCGTATAACTACACTACTGTACAAATGTTTGGGGTTGGTACAATTTTTTATGCTTTTGAAGTCTCTTATGCTCACCAAAGCTGATCAAAAATACAATAAAAACAGTAATATCATGAAATACTATTACAATTTAAAATATAAAGGTTTTCTATGTCAATACATTTTAAAATGTAATTTATTCCTGTGATGCAACGCTGAATTTTCTGCATCATTACTCCAGTCTTCAGTGTCACTGAATTTCTTTCTTACTAACCCCAGACTTTTGAATGGTAGCATACATTTAACACACAGTTACATGACAACATGATTTCACATGCTATAACTTACCAATAACCATCCATACTGCGAAACGAACCCATGTAGGTCCATCCAATTGCATCATGAGGTAAATATTTACAAAGATACTGACCAATGGCAGAATGGGGAGCAAAGGCACCTACAAAATGTTGAGAGAGGATTATTATAACCACCTAAAGATCCGACGTTCTCAATTTAACAAAGCACAAGGATAATAACGTAGCTTTGTAAATTACGTCTGTACCTTGAAAGTGAGAACCTCTTTACTCTGGGGCTGTCGCCAGATGATGAAGATGCAGACAGAAGACAGAACAGACAGGAGAACAACCAAAGTGATGTAAAGAGGGCTGCCCTTCCCCACCTGCTCTCCGTACACTGCCAGCACCACACATAGCAGAGTGAACAACACAGCTGAACAGAAAAAGAGAGGAATGTTATCTGCCTGTTCACTACATACTGTTTACATTTCCCTGAGCTCTACATTACAGCTACATGTTGCAGCAAAAAAGGTAGATCATAAACTGGGTTAATGAAAACACTTACATATGGTGCCAGTTGCAGAGTAAACAATGATGCCTGAAATCTTGGTGGGTACATCACAGATGGGTTGCACCAGCATCCTGATGGAAAACCTCTCCTTAAGGGGTGTTGTCTCCAGCTCCTGGTCGTACTCATCCCCGCTATCCACATCTGCCATGCCTCCTTTAGCCTCCAGCCTCTGTAGTTCCATTGACTTCTCATTAGCACCACTGGAGCCAATACTGCCTGGCTGGTACCTGTAGATAAAAATAAAAAAAAATGAAACTGATTTAAAAAAATTGCTGATTGCTGCTCAAGAAACAATTCTTTTCACCATCAATGTAAAAAAAAAAAGGGCAAGCTGCTTTTAAAGGGGTCATATGATGCAATTTCAAATTTTCCTTTCTCTTTGGAGTGTTATAAGCTCTTGGTGCATAAAGAAGATCTGTAAAGTTGCAAAGACTAAAGTCTCAAATCCAAAGAGATATTCTTTATAAAAGTTAAGAGTTAACCACGCCTACCTAAAACGGCTCGTTCTAACACGCCCCCACATGTCTACGTCACGATGTGGGAAGATTTGCATAACGCCGCCCAAATGTTCACGCAAAGAAAGAAGGTGTAACTTTTATTCTCGCTGTAGTATTGTTGCTGCCGCCATGTCGTGAAGGCGCTGTGTGTTTAGTTGTGAAAGCGAAACTACTTTGTTTGGTCTTCCAAAAGAGGACGATATCCGCTTCGTCATGCCTGGAGCTGATCAGTGCTGTTTGCTGAGGAAATAGCGGAGTCCAGCCCGGGGTCGTCACATGTGGTTGTCGCAAGCCCGCCGGCTGCTCCTTCGTCGAATCCGCCGGCCGCGCCGTTCTCAAGTCTGCCACCCTCCGCTCACTCAAGCCCACCATGTGTTTCGTTGTGAAAGTGTAACTACTTTGTTTGGCCTTCCAAAAGAGGACACGACTAGAAATCTAATTCAGTGTGTGGAAAATAATGTTTTTTTTTTACCTTAAACCGCATAAACACATTTCCTTACACCAAATACACAAAATAATGTTCTTTTTAGCAACATCATATGACCCCTTTAAATTTTTGATAAATAGAATTTATATATTTATTATTTATCTATATTATTATTTAACAAAGAGTGAAAAATTTAAGGGGGTCTGAATACTTTCCGTACCCACTGTAGATATTATATATTTATTTGAAACAGAAATATTCTGTAACATTATGAATGTCTTTACTGTCACTTTTGATCAATTTGTGACCTTGCTGCATAAAAGTATTAATTTCTTTCAAAAATCCACCGACTTTTGAACCTTTGTGTATGTGTATATACTCACCGGAGAATGAGTACGCACACAGCAACTAGAGTGTATGCCAGCAGGGTCCCAATCGACATCAAGTCCACTAATGCGGCGAGATCAAACAGGAAGGCCATCAGAGCTACAGGGAGGAAATTAACGAGATTCTACAGTTAAGCCCCATTCAAACCGAAAACGATAACTATAAAGATAACGATATTAGCGTCCACACCAGCGGACAATATCGTCCGTTTATTCCAAGCGCTTGCGCGTCTGCTGCTTTAAATTCTCGAGCTTGTTATAGCAGGATGGATTCTGATTGGCTGTCAATGTTTGTATCATTCATCAGCTGGAAAAAATCGTTCTGAAAATGATTCCAACAATATTGTTTCTCTGTGCCTTTATCATTGTAGTTGTAGTGTGGACTCTGCTATTATTTAATATTGAGAACGATTTTTAGAACTATATCTTTATCGTGCTTCGTGTGAACGGGTCTTTAGTCACAATTATTAAAAGTCACATCATCAGTTGACAGTCATTACATGAATAAAAGTACAGTCTTACCTGCTACGATGCCAGACACAACGGTGGCCAGCACAGGTGTCTTGGTTTTCTTGTGCATGCGGGAGAGGGAGCGAAAGAGCAGACCATCCTCAGCCATGGCATAAATCACACGAGGCATAGGGAACATGGAGCCCAACAAGCTGAAGAACATAAAAAAAATAAATTGTCATCACTTGTTGACTTTAAGCAGGGTTACTATAGTTAACTAAAACATTTTCATTAATTGAAATAAATGTTAACTGAAAAAAAACAACAACTTTCAACTAGTTTCCAAGGCTACATTTCTCATTTTCATTTAGTTTGACGATGTAGTAAAATAACCAAACTAAAATGTAAAAACATTAATAAAAACTATATACACATTTAAAAACAACAAACACTAATACAAATGACAAAAACAACAACAAAAATATTAAAACAGACATGAAAGCAGATAAAATTTAAAAATCTAATTCAAAACAACTGTTAAACAATTAACAAAAACTATAATAGTGTCTCAATAATACTAAAATAACTTTAAGCCAATGTCAATAAACGTACCTGGTGGAAAGGGCACACAGAGACCCCACCGCCACAATATAGCGAGCAGGGTCCCAGTGCACATATTGAAAGGCCTCTGGAAGCGGACTTTGAACATCCAGCTTGTAATAGGGCATCATGAGTGTGAGCGCTGCCGACACTCCGAAGTAGGCAAAAAAGCAGATGAGCAAAGAGGCCACTATGCTGATCGGGATGGAACGCATGGGGTTTTTGGCCTCCTCACCTAAGAAATCACCAGAGCTGAGGTGAGTTTGGTTCTAAAAGTAGGACATACTGGTTTTCACAACATGTTTTTCGGAACTTACTTGTGGTTGCGATGCAGTCAAAACCCACAAATGCATAGAAGCATGTAGCAGCACCAGTAAGGATTCCACCCAAGCCAAATGGTGCAAAGCCACCTGAGCCGAACTCTTTTTCAATGATCCTAAGATGTGAGAGTTTTCAAAATTCAAATTTACAATGCATATACATTCATACATACATGTGTGTGCATTTATTTTTTATAATTTCATATATATATATATATATATATATATATATGTATGTTGATTATATGTAAATAAGACCGTGTTTTAACTTTATTTCATTCATTTACTTTTATGTAACTTCTTTTTTATGCTTACTATTATATTAATTTAAGTAATATATATATACATTCTATTATATGTATTCAATTAAAAATATATAATTTTTTGTTTACACTACCCTTAATTTTTAATATTCATTAATTAATTGTAATTTTTATCTTATCAAATCTATCTTTCTTGCAATTTAGTTGTATACCTGTAATCAGTAATTATGCTACTGACCCAACTGATTGCATTTCATTTACGCTCTTAAATTGTATTTTCTTAATTTCTATTGCTATGCCTCCATCTAAATGTTGAGGCAGTGTGACTTACTTTGCATTATAGTTGTTTGTGCTGTTAATGTAGTCCTCCACAGTGAGGTTCCAGTTGGCAGTGTCACCTTTCACAAAGCCCGATATGATGACAAATATCAGAACCACCAGGTTGATTCCTGTGAAGATCTTGCTGACAAGAGCAGACTCACTCACTCCAAATGCCAATAATCCTGTAGCGTGGGAGGTGAGAAGTAGCGAATTCAATTCATTATGGTCTTTTGCATGGCAATGGTGAAAAGAAAGTGTGAGAAACAGTCCTATGACTAATGGGTACATTGATAAAGTGGACCATTTAAAATTATTTAATTGCTTTAGTGTAGCTGGTGTGGTAGAACCAAAGAACCTTTTCTCTTTTGGCACCACTGCCAGAAACACACTACCAAAAGCCAGTAGTCAGATAAGTAGTGAGTCAAGAATCATCATTCTGGAACAAAGATCCACTGGCTTATTGGAATAATCCAAGATCTTGACTTTGGAAACACTTTGTGCCAACTGAGAAGTAACTGGCATCATCACATTACCGTTGAGTGATTCTTAGAGAGAAAAAGGTTCTCACCAGTGAGCAACATGACCAGGATGAGGGCAAACACATCTGGATATTCCGCTAACACTTTTCCAGTGTATGGAAATGACATGGAATCAGTGAAAAAGTCAGAGATGGTTTTGTTCACTAGATTGTCAAACGTTGAGCTCCAAGCCCGTGCCACACTAGCTGTGCCTGTGAAATGGAGAAAAGGACAAATGACACGAGTAGATACAAAAGACTTCAGAACGTCCACTTATTATGTTAAACTTAAGCAGCTGCTCAAGGGACCTTCGGGCTAGAGTAGTAAACACGTCATACAGTTTCAAAACCACTTCAGCTCATTCGTAATCACATATAATTGGTCAAACTCTTGGGCTCGCATTCTGAACTAACTTGTGGAAAAGCTGATGATTAATTAGTATATTTGGATTCAAAAGGGAAAAAGTATTTTCATTCCAAATTAAAGTCACATATTAATCTAGTTTCTAAAGATAATATCTACACACTCACCAATCACGTATGACAGAATGAGGTTCCATCCCGTGATGAAGGCCCATATTTCACCTACTGTCACGTAGCTGTATAGGTAAGCGGATCCTGTCTTGGGAACACGTGCGCCAAATTCAGCGTAGCACAAACCAGCGAGAACAGAGGAAAAGGCAGCAATTAGGAAAGACAGCACGATGGCAGGTCCAGCCTTCTCTCGGGCCACTTCCCCAGCCAGAACGTAGACACCTGCACCCAGTGTCGCCCCCACCCCGAGGGCTATGAGGTCAAGAGTGGTGAGACAGCGAGCGAAGCGGGTTTCGTCCTGAGAAGTGTCCAGCAAGCGACGCCTCAGCAGCATCTTCCCAAAGGAGGCCAGTTTATTCTCAGCCATGATGGATAACGTTGAGGAGACTGGGATAAAGCTGAAGGCACTAAAGGAGAAGAGAAATATATATATATATATAATTGTTTTATAAAAAAAGTGAGAAAATGCTGCCTTTTTTGCTAATTAGGTCAAAAAATGAGTGGCCTGATTTAGATGTTCATTTTGAGGAAAATTAACCTAAAGCTCAAAAGGACCAGACATTTTTACATGTTTGTCTTGACCTGAAATAAACACTACAAAGTGAACTCCTAAGGCTAATTTTGTGAAAGGCTCTTTATACAAGTAATTTCATGTAAAGGGCATATAAAAAGGCGGCTGTTATCCACCACACCTGCAGACCACAGGGCAGTTCAATTCATCAGGAAAATTAGTAAGATTAATATCCAAGAGGTTTGGCCGTTCATTACGGAGTCATAATTCATAAAGTACAACAGCTCCAAAACCTAGATAAAGAGCACTGGCATTGGTGTGGATGGAAACAATTTTCAGGTAAGACCAAACTGATTCATCACAATTTACTGGCTAGATGAAAAGAACAGGGTGAAATGGGAAAAGCACTACGTCTGAGGTCAAAGAGAAAAAAAACAGCAGACATTTAACAAAAAAAGAAAGTATACAGAGGTAACTCACCCTCTGAATGCAGATTGGTGAATATTTAAAAAGGTCAGACATTTGAATACACCATTTACATAATGCAAATATTAACGGCTGTTAATAGTCGCAGTCTGACCCGCTGCATACTTTTCACTGAGAAATAGAGCAATGCAGGAATGGGTTTCTTGTGTGGTTTCTGTCCAGCAGCTTGACTAGTCATACATGTTTGATCAGATCCAGTCTATGCCACTAACTAGATCACACTAGAAGTAAACCCGCACCTGTGTACACCATTATCTAGCAGAAAACCTCTGGCCCTTAAGTATTTTTACCACATTCCTAGATTTCAAAACATCCTCCTTCAAAAAAATGAAATGAGGAAGACTGTCTAAAAATAAAGTCTTACGGTAAAACTGCTCAGTAGAGGACCTCTCTTTCTCGGAAAACATTTACTTCCTTCTAAGGGTATTGTATAAAATTAGTAGCATAAAAAAAAAAATCACTAACTTTAGAACAAAGCAAACTAAAATCTAGTCCATGAAAATGGTGGTTAAATATGTTAGGTAGTGGATTGTTATTGTAAAATACTGTGATGATTATCAGTAAAACCAGTTAAAAGGTGTTGCCTCAGACACTGATATGACCGAATAAACATGTTTAGGGGATATATTATTCATTATGTCCCAGTACATCAGACTCGCACATGTTACATTAAATAACACTTCCTGTTAAAGGAAAGAGCAGCAGTCATGCACTAAGCTCTGGTAAAAGAAACCATTTCAAGCAATAAGCTAAAAGGTTTGGACAGTGTGAATTCACAGGTCAAGTGTCTGTCATCCTTGCTGGCAACCTGCTTCACCCTACGGAGTTTGATTGTTTGAGAATCAGATTCATATATTTGAAGATGATCCTTCAAAGCACTTGCAGCCCACATTCTTGAACCAAAAGTGGCCAAGAGCCTTTTTTTTTTTTGTATCAAATTAAAACTCTGCTTAAGTATTCCTGTTATATAATACCGTGTATATAACACTGTAGGCTTGACAGTGTCTAGTTTGCTATTCAACTAGAATGGACCAGCAGCACCTGTTATAGCACACCTACATTTACAGCAATGGAATTTCAATGTGGCTTAATTAAACTATTTTAGAGCTCAACATTCTTTCTGTAGCCTGTTCATGATGCTATTGTTTTTGAGAGAGGCATGATACAGACACACAGGCTTTGAGCTACATTCCAATGTAGTGATGTGTTCAGCTTGGTGATTTATTTAAACTCATAAAAACCATGTTCAAAATGAAGCTGCACCTGAAAACCTGCCCACATGATGGGAGCATAATTTTTGTCATTTGCAAAAACAAAGATATAGGCATATATTTCAGTATTATTATGGTATAATTATAATGCATTTTGCTAATGTGATTATTACATTTAAAACAATCCGAGTTTATGTAAATTGTTTATATACATATGCCGACTAAATAAATGATAATAATAAAGTAGCGCACATGTAACATCTAAAGATACATAGGCACGCGCGCCATTTCTAACACGAGGATGAATGTAATGATAAACATGGAATTTCCGCTCACGAGAGAAAACCGAATTCAGATGGTTTAGTTAACGAATAATACTCATACTCACTTTTTTTCAGATTAAGAATGGAGTACCATAAGAATAATCGATAATAGGTAGTTACCCTCTGTTGAGACGATGTACCGAGTATCCAGCGGGTCAGACAGACAGACGAGACGGACAGACGATGCGCGGAGCGCGGGGAGCAGTCTACAAACTCGAGCAGTAGAACAGGACCTGCTGTATAACACTCATCCGGTAATCCTTTTAAGGAAACATTGTTCTTTCCCCTCGGGGTCGGGTTTCTTCTGACGTCGAGCAAACCCAATCGTAGTAGAGCGTGATGCCATTGACGACAGGAATTGTTTCGAGCGAGCGAAATGGCTTTTCTTGTATTTTTGAAAATCTTGATCTGGCTGCATCTTGTTGTAAAAACACAAGATGACACAATGATCAGCGTCTTAGAAAGGAACATGTAAAACAGGAATCTTCTGCCATGCTCTCAAAACGAACCATAAAGCATACTGTAAATGATATTGTAATTTATTAGGGAAACCTGAGACACTTAAAGCAGATAATGTAGAAACATTAGCATCAAAATAAATTAGATCGAGTTACATTTTATTAACAAACTCACATTTTTTTTTAGAAGCATATAAAAATGCATTCAACTGCATAGAAATTTTACAACTGTTCGAAAATTAAAACTTTCCGTGTCACTTCTCTTCTTTTCTCTAATTGTGGGAGAGAGAAGAGAGAGAGAATCAGGCAGAGGTATACAATTCTGCTTCTACTTACAGCATAATACAATCAGATATACATCAAATAAACACAATATTACAATGTACAATTGCACAAAAGGCTGCAAACGAACAGCGCGCATCTGAAGTGTCTCTGAAGGAAATAATGCATTATTTATCGGCTTTAAGATATCGGCCAAATTTTCTTATCAGGCCGATACCGATAACAGAAAAAATGAGCCGATATGGGCCGATACCGATATGGTGGCCGATATATCGTGCATCCCTAATTTATATTGATAATTATCTGTGCAATTAACTCAAACATAGAAGATTTAACATGATATATCAACACTCAAATTTAAAGAAATTTCTCAAAAAACAAAACATTCTAGAAATAAATTGTGTAAAGGCATTCAATACCAACTTAAATTCTCTTCAGTTCCCCTACGCACTTCTCAAGTTTTTCGTGCAATGGTCCCCAGTTTTTACACTCTATAAAAGATAATAAAAGTATGCAAAATATAACAAAACCAAAACATTATTTCAGAATGAAATGAACAAAGAGAGTAAAGTTATCAGAGAAAAATACTAAACATGAAAACTTAAGATACCTGAACGCAAACCCATTAGTTTTTGAATGACCCTCTCAAGTTTTTCTTGGTGTTGTAAGCAATTAACACAACCTGGGTGGGGGTTAAAAAGATTGACAGGTTTGAAAATATTAGACACTGAATTAGAAAATGTACTGCATGCTCTCTAAGATGATAACAACCATCTAAATTCACCTGCTTCATGTGATCCTTCAGCTGGATGCACAGCATCACTCTCTACTGTAGACAGAGCGGGTGCTATAGACACAAATACAAGAAATAAGTCACAGCGGAAATGTTAAATAAAAAAGCCATCATATTTCAAACACATTTGCTACAAAGGTTTAGTCTAGTCAAGATTTCTGTTGAACAATATGCGAGTAATTGGGAAAATAATAATAATTACAAATGCAGCAAATTATTATATATGGTTTTATGTTTACCAGTGATGACAAAAACCATTTACTCCAATCTATTAAAAACAGTGCCAACTAATCCTGTGGTACAAGAGAAAACTTTTATCTTATATTAGCACAGTTAAGAGTGGCTCTTAATTGGCTCTTTGGAGAAAGCAAACTTATTCAATCCAGGACAGAGAGAGAGAGAGATGGACAACAGACGACAAGTACATTAAAGGTCTAGTTTGAGAAACAGACTTCTCAGAGGTTCAATAAATCCATGTTTGAGATGGTCAGAACAGTTTGATCATAAGATCCATGAAAAGTGCCCAATGTGGTCCTAATGAACAGAATAACAGAATTTACTTGAAACCAATAGTAATTTGCAATTTTGCAACATTTTATAATTTCTTAACTGTAATAATGTTTGACCAATTTAATGCAACCCAACTGGTAGTGTATATTTAATAAGAGGATTTTTTTTTTTAGCTGTATACTTTATTTTTTATTATTATTTTTTTTTTTCCATCTATAATTAATATGGTGCATTCTCTTATGGTGCCATGGATGCCAATGTACCAGCCTATAATTGAGTTTGAACAGCCCTATAAAATCTCCATTTCAAAACGAATGAAAAGAATCAATGGGGAGACATGCACACACAACTCCCGTAGAACCATTAATTAAAAAGACTTCGACAAAAAGCTCCCAAATGCACCAGTCCTTTCAGCAAGGCTATTACTGCGCACTTCACAAAGATATCAATCAGTCTGGATTACAGCTAGTCAGACAGGAAGCTATCATGCAAATAAGAAATGTTCAAGGCTGTGTTTAATGACTCAATTTTCTAGCCCAGTTTCCTGGCGGCTTCATACAACAATATGCAATTTTTTGCAATAATGATATATTGGGAGATATCCTTTTTGAGATCTGTCCATGTTGCTTAAGGCAAAGGGTGGCTATTTTCCACATTTTAGAGACTATAATATTCTAGAATATTGCTTTGATACACCCAAAGCTTTTTAAACACCACATCTTATCATTTTTAAATAAACAAACATTGCCATTTACAATAAACAGTTTTAAAAAGGTAAAATAAAGCCTTTGAGTGGTATCGTACAAAGCAATATAAAAAATGAAACAATTAGTCTTTATCAAAATACAATAACTCCTATTAATAGTTAATGCTGTATTATCTTGTAACCCACCACCACATGAGGGAATACACCAGAGAAAAGTATTGTATTAGTACTTTTGTTTGGCTTTTAGTTTGCTTTTATTAAAGATTTTGAGGTTTAAAAGTGTTGCAGACCATCTGAAAATATTAGAGATATTTCTGTTATTTATCAAGTAATACTCACTAATACACTTAGCATCCCTTTAATTAATAAAGGTAAATTTAAAAAAAAAAGGACAAATGACCGCACCAATTCTTTTTCTCTTTGCCGAAGGCAAACCATCATTGTTCAAATGCTTTTGGCCCACACTGGGAAGCAGTGAATTCCTCGTCCTCATACCTTTCATAGATAAAATTAAAGGAAATAATGACAAAGCATTACATAAAATCAGAGCCCTTCTTTTACATAATCATTTTGTCTATGTATTTACTGGGTATAAATGTTGCATTAAATATGAAATCAGCAAATGTGATATTAACCAAATTTGAAGACGCACATCAAGGAAAAACCATCACTTTGAAAAGTACCTGGTAATCCTGACGGTTTATTACTAGGCCGAGTCTGAACGGTTTCTACAGAGGATCGTGTAGTCTGAGGTGTCTTGAGAGCCAGTCTTTTACGGGATGGCGGCTGTAGTCCTGATGGTTTCATTTGTGGTATAGCAGAGCCTGAAGGTTTTGCAACTGCAACCACATTACAGCTTACAGAATACATCATTTATTTTAATATATATATATATATATATATATATATATATATATATATATTATCATTAGTAATATAAAAAAAAGTTATGTACATTACTACGGTTCAAAACTTTGGGGTTTTTACGTCTTTTATGCTCAACATGGCAGCTTTGATCAAAAATACAGTAAAAACCTTAATATTAGGAAATATCATTACAAAACAAGTGTTTTTATTTTTAATATTCTTTAAAGGGGTCATATGACGTTGCTAAAAATAACATTATTTTGTGTATTTGGTGTAATGAAATGTGTTTATGCGGTTTAAAGTTCAAAAAACACATTATTTTCCACATACTGTGCCTTCGTCGATTTTTACAAAGCTCATCGGTCTGAAAAGCGAGGTGTGCTCTGATTGGCCAGCTATCCAGTGCGTTGTGATTGCCCGAATACCTCAAGCTTGTGACGGAAATGTTACGCCCCTTACCATACTGTGATGCCCTGTCCAGCTGGAGCGACGATTCAAAAACATGAAAACCCATTATAAACGAGGCATTTGTTGCATCCAGTGGGGACATAATTAAGGATTATAATGACTTATACTGTGTAAACATAAAATCATGTCTGCATTTGTGATCGAGAAATGACAAACAACAAGCGCTACTCTACACTGCTCAAAACTCGCGTTTGAATCGTCAGTGGCAAATCCTTTAAATGAAGACGTACTTACAGTCTGAGAGTCAGAACAGCCGGCATTGTAGTCTACTCTCCCAGGATCAGGAAACAGTCCTCCATAAAATGTGCTGCACACATCTGGATATTTGGGTTAAACTGTTCTGGAACAGTGTTGTAAATACAACTTAACCACTGATTTCTAGTTGTGTCCTCTTTTGGAAGACCAAACAAAGTAGTTTCGCTTTCACAACGAAACACAGCGTCACACACGGCGGGCTAGAGTGAGGAACGGCTGGGGGCTTGAGAACGGCGCGGCCGGCGGATTCGACGAAGGAGCAACCGGTGGGCTTGCAGCAACCACATGTGACGATCCCGGGCTGGACTCCACTTTGTCCATGGTGAAAGCCGATCCGGCGAATCACAGAGCGAAGTTGATGTATTTCCTCAGCGACCAGCACGGATCAGCTCTAGGCATGATGAAGCAGATATCGTCCTCTTTTGGAAGACCAAACAAAGTAGTTTCGCTTTCACAACGAAGCACACAGCGTCTTCACGACATGGCGGCAGCGGCAACAATACTACAGCGAGAATAAAAGTTACTCCTTTCTTTGCGTGAACATTTGGGCGGCGTTATGCAAATCTTCCCACATAGTGACGTAGACATGTGGGGGCATGTTAGAACGAAGCATTTTAGGTAGGCGTGGCTGACTCTTAACTTTTATAAAGAATATCTCTTTGGATTTGAAACTTTAGTCTTTGCAACTTTACAGATCTTCTTTATGCACCAAGAGCTAGTAACACTAAACAGAAAAAATGAAAATCGCATCATATGACCCCTTTAACATTTTATCTTTTCGTGTGATGGCAACACACACACACAAGCAATTTTCAGCAGTCATTACTTCAGTGTCACATCATCCTTCAAATATCATTATAATATGCTGATTTGGTGCTCAAGAATTTCTTAATATTTTATCAATGTTTAAAAAATTTGTGCTGCTTAAATCTTTTTTTTGGAAACTTAATATCAGAATTCTTTTAATAAATTGAAAGCTCAAAAGAACAGCATTTATAGAAATCTTTTGTAACATTACACGTCTTTACTGTCACATTTGATCAATTAAGGCATCCTTAATGAATAAAAGCGTTTTAAATTTGTGCAAAAAACAAAAAAACTGACCTTCAATTTTTGAACAATAATATAATTATGTACATGTATGAAATGTGTTTAAAAAAAGTGTATAAGCCACTCACCAGCAGTGAAGTTATATCCAGTGACAGAAGAAACCATAGAGGTCTGTTTTCAATAAAAAAAAGTATCCATTTTAACCATACACAAGACCAATGTTTGTAAGCAGCTGACTGCTTTATAGCAACATAAAGCATCGAGTTTCCTACCTTAACAGTGCTAGCTGATGCTGCGCTCTTGACAGGTGCGATGTTCTTCCCCTTGTTCATCTGTACAGTCTTCCTGCTGCCAAGCAGTGTGGTGGGTGATGTGTCAGGCTGATGCGGGGCTGGCGGCCCTTGGATTGTCTTTGGTTTGATCGCTACTAAGGAGTTTATTGACAACTGTGGCCTTGGAGGAAGACTGGATTTGGGATAACTCAGCTTAGAGGAAAGCTGAGGAAGCCGTCTTTTGATTGGAGGTTTTGTGGGAGGTTTGTTCTCATTTGCTGGTTCTGATGTACTGTGAGTGACTTTCTGATTCTGGCTTGAGCGCTCAGTCACCTGCACAGCATCAGTTCCATCATGATTACTAGCACAAACAAGCTCATCATTCGACTGGGCCTCGATGCTGTTGATCACACACAGCCTCTTTCTCATAGGTGTGGGCTTCACGTCTCTCAGTATCTCAAATCTGGATTCTTTTCCAAAAACAATAGGTGTGGATGTAACCAGGAAGCTTGTCTTCATATCCAGTGTATCATCCAAACAAAAAATACTGTTTCTGCTGATATTTCCCACATCAGAAGAGGGAATGGACTCAGCATCCGCCAAGCCAAGTCTTGATGTTTTTTTTTCGTGAGGCTCCTCTGCTTTAAGCTCAGAAGCATCATCAGGAGCATCTACGGAGCAAACAAAATCTGTGGTGCTTATCCCAACTTCGGTTTCTCTGCTGTTAGAGGCTGGTTTAGTGATACCTACAGAGTTAGAAGCATCATTAACCTGGTCAGCTAATTCTGTGCTTGAGGGCTTAATTTCAACAGTGGTGTCCTTCAAAACTGTAACTTCTGGGTGAGTAAGATCAGTGGTTGTATTATGTTTAGTCGTCTCAGCTGGTTTTATAGTAGCTGAGCTCGATTGTTCAACCTCACCAGAGGGCTGAAGAGGAGCACTGGCTATTTGCTCCACAATATCAACAGTTACATTGACTTTTAAATCAGTTTCCTCTGTGTTTTTTATTTTATCAGCCTCAGTAGAGTTAAAACTACGATCTAGTTTTTCTTGTGACCGAATATCTTTAGTTTCTTCAAGTTTTTCATTTGGCTGTTCTGTAGTAGTGTTTAATGGTTCATTGTTATCAACAGATGAACTGGTTTTAGAGTGTGCGCGGTCTAGATTAGGAATATCCACAGTTGCATTAACCCCAGTGTCAGGTCCCTCTTTAGGGTCATGTGACTGTACCAGGTCAACAGTGGTGTTTCCTGACTCAGTCTTTATATTAGGAACATCAAGATCCACTGTTGAATTAAGACTAGGGTTGGACGACTCCTCTGGCTCTTGAGACTCAAAAGTGTTGTTCTTCTCTCTGATGTTGTGCAGATCAACAGTCGCATTAATACCAGCGTCAGACCATTCTTTCGAGTCTTGGGTCACATCAAATGTGCTGTTCTTCAACTCAACACTCATGAATTCAGATTTCTCTAAAGATGTAGTGGATACCGTGGCATCATTGCAGTCCCCATTTGCTTTGCCCGCTGTTGCACTGGTAATGTCTTTCTCATTCTGTGGTGATCTAGTAGACGTGCTTCCATTTGCCAACTGACAGTGCGCTCCAAGAGAGCAATTAAGACCAGAGTCATTGGTAGCCTCTTTTCTTGGAGCTAAAATGCCTTCATCCTTATTTTTTGTTTGATTTTCTGATGGCGTGCAAGCAGGGGAATTCAACACAGTTCCTGCTTCATTTGAAAGAATCGGCGGGCTGGCGGTGTCATCAAGAAATCCAGACACTTGGGGAAAAGGTTCATCTGCAATTGAATAGAAACTAGAACACAGATCTGGCAATTTGATAGACTGGTAAGAGGAGACAGGTTGTTGAAGGGACGATCCACCCAATACATTGCCACCGGCCTGGGCAAGCTTCCGCCTTAGAAAGCTCTCCATTGCAATAGCAGGGCAGGTCTCTGAAAGGAATAAAAAGTCTATGAATTTTTTTGTGGCTTCCTGAAACCTACTTACTGGCAATCACACATCTCACAAAGGATGACACGTGTTACAAAAGGAAGCATCAGGTTGAATTCCTTAAATACTGGTCTAAATTTAAACATTTAGCATAGAAGAATCCAGATGTGTCATATAAACATGTCTGATAATAGTGCTGGTTGTATAACATTACATAACAGATCACAAATACGAAAAGACTTTGTGACTGACAACTGCAAGGAATGTTTTGTTATGGTAACACAAAAACCCTTGGCACGGAAAATAAGCACTAAGCGATTTACGAGAACACACTTAATACAATTTCTAGACAAATAAACAGATCATAATATTTAGGAAGCATTGTCGTCTTCTTACCAGATATCTAAACAGGCCGAGTGTTTGATATTTCCGAGTCGATTTGAAAACTGGGACATTCTAGTCATTGGGAGACACGCTCAGTCCTCGACCAATCAGAGCGACGATCTGTGTGGTGTCAGAAAAATCACAGCGCCCCCCAGTGCTGGCAGTCACGTAGAACGATCATTATTATTATTTATTTCCATATTTATTATTTACTATAACTTCGCCAATAACTAGTATGAAGTAATTATTATGAAATTATTTTTAATTGTTGTAGAGCACCATAAAGGATATAAAATATTTATCTTATATAATTTCCTTAGCTTTTTGCTCAGATAGATCACTGTATCTTCTCCAAATATTCATTTCGTTTGAAAATTAAGAGGCTGGGAGGACACTTAAATCTGCAATAGAATATGAAGTGAAATATTTGTTTATAATATTTAGGCACATCAATCATAACTCCTTCAAAATCAGCCAGAAAACGTGGAGTTATGATTGATGATCAGCTTACTTTCTCAGACCACATTGCTAAAACTGTCCGGTCCTGCAGATTTGCTTTATTCAACATCAAGAAGATCAGGCCCTTTCTTTCGGAACATGCTTCACAACTCCTTGTTCAAGCTCTTGTTCTGTCCAGGCTGGACTATTGCAATGCTCTCTTGGCAGGTCTTCCAGCCAGTTCTATCAAACCTTTACAATTAATCCAGAACAGGGCAGCAAGATTAATTTTTAATGAGCCAAAATAGCTGCTGGCATAAAATTCAAGGCATTGATGTTTGCCTTCAAAACCACCGCTGGCTCTGCACCCCTTTACCTAAATTCATTACTTCAGACTTCTGTGCCCTCTAGAAGCTTGCGTTCTGCAAGTGAACGGTGCATTACAGTGCCATCTCAAAGAAGCACAAAATGACTTTCACTGACTTTTACATTAACTGTTCCCTCCTGGTGGAATGACCTGCCAAACTCAATCCGAGCAGCTGAGTCCTTAACCATCTTCAAGAAACGACTAACAACACATCTCTTCCATCTTTATTTGACCCTCTAACTCTAGCACTCTCTATTCTAATTCTATTCTTTAAAAAAAAAACACTTGCTTTCTAATCTTTTTGTATTCTATGTTTTCTTTTCATTTATTATACATTTAACAAAAGCAAAAAAGACCTCTAACACTAGCTTGCTCTATTCTTTTTCTATTCTATCTGTTTTTTTTTTATTTATATAATAATAAAAAAAACCTTGCTACGTGTACTGCGTTAGGCTAACTGAGACTTGTTATAGCACCTGTATATCATTGCTCTTTTGTTGATTTTGATTGCTTCCATTGTCCTCATATGTAAGTCTCTTTGGATAAAAGCGTCTGCTAAATGACTAAATGTAATGTAATAATAAATCGCTGTCACAAATAACGGTAGCCTAGTGAAATCGTGATATAGGCAACATAAATTTATTGAATTTGTTATGAATGGTTGCCCACATTACAGGCTGTTATAAATACTTCTCAGTTTAAAACATCACAGAAAATCTTTACTCTGTTCTTGTTACAATATATTTTATATCCCTAAAAATCTGAGTAAAATTCCAATATTACATTATAGCGTGCATGTACTTTTATTAACTTAATGTGCTTGCATATAATGTGGGAATTGTTGATGCATTTATGCCGCATCTTTTTTATTATAATTATTTTTATTTCAGTGCATGTCAAGAAAACGTGTCATATCCACATACATTCAACACAAACTGTATAAAAACATTTAATAAAAATAATTAAATGCCGGACATCAAGGTATAGGCCTATCATATTAAGTAATACGATTTTTTTTTTCGTTAATATTCATACATTGAAAATAAACAGAAATGACTGTTTGGAAATGGGTAAAATTGTGTAGTAATTTACTCCACTTTGACTGACGAACGTTTATGACATCCTAGGGCAAGTTAGGGAAGAAATGTTAATGTCTATGTAGTGACTCCTGCTCTCTCTATAGGCTACTTCCACCACAAAATTATGATTTGCTATTATTGAACGATTTCACGTTTCTGTCATTCTGCAGTAATTGTTTTGTGTACTGATTGTTATGCACGAGTTATGAACTCACAAAAGAAAAAATACCTAATTCTTATTTTCAATCATTACTGGTTAAATTACCTTTTTTTAAATTGCACACACACACACACACACACACACACACACGGTATTAGAATGTGTATCTGGTCAAAAGAAACCAACATGATATCTAAATAAATACAACTACTTAATCAGACAACAATGACTTAATCACATTTCTAATATTGACTTTCACTGCAAGGCTGAAGAGTTGCATCATGCTCTGGGAAAAGGGGTAATGCCTAGGAAGGTCCTGTGGGTATTGTAGTTTTGGTGGCTGAGCCGTATCGAGACACTGACATATGCGTTTAAAATATGAGCAACAGCTGAACTAGAAAGAACAATGCATTCATGACTGAGATTTCATTTTAAAATGACTAAATTCAGATAAGGTTACACAACACCACCGAGGTGGCCTTTCAGAAATATACATTCAATGTATGAACTTCAATTTAATTTGAAAACAGCGATTTCAGATGATGGCGAGACTTCTTGACAACGACATCGTCTAACATAAAACAGCTTTCATCCACTTGAGCCTCTTAATTAAACAAATTCGATTGCAATTTCATCGGGAAACCATGTGGACAGCATGGGGTCAGGGGATCTCGCGCACAGCATTCCATTGGAGATCCTTCAGGGATTATAAGGATCTTCGCCCGCTTCATAACAACCTAGAGATCCTAAAATGACAAAACCAGGTACATTCAATGTATGAACTTCAATTTAATTTGAAAACAGCGATTTCAGATGATGGCGAGACTTCTTGACAACGACATCGTCTAACATAAAACAGCTTTCATCCACTTGAGCCTCTTAAACAAATTCGATTGCAATTTCATCGGGAAACCATGTGGACAGCATGGGGTCAGGGGATCTCGCGCACAGCATTCCATTGGAGATCCTTCAGGGATTATAAGGATCTTCGCCCGCTTCATAACAACCTAGAGATCCTAAAATGACAAAACCAGGACACACACACACACCGTTAGAAACTATTACATAACATTTGATGTGCTCAGTCTTTTTTCGGGATCCCCGGTTCCCTCCGGTCGTGTTTACGGCGCACAATCCATCACATGACTGACTGCAATTCCCGTCAGTCCTCTTGACGCATGCGCACGCCGCGCTGTCTGGCGGTGGTAAACAGACGTCAGAAGGGAGTCTTCGCCTCGAGTCAAAACAAAACAAAACAAGAAAGATCTACGAGGAATAGCTGTTTGTCTATCTCCATTAACAACAGAAGGGAAGCGAATTCGCGTTAATTTCAACAGACGACCAAGTTATTGAAGAGAAGCGGGTTTCTTCGACTTTTACCGGAGGGATATTAACTCATAAAAACTGGAGTTGGCTAACTAGGTGGCTCTCTCAGTAACGTTAGTAAAACTACGCTTGCGAGTTTTGTCCCAGAGGCCGAGTGGCCGGCGGCTGAATTCAAGAAGCGGGCGGGCGACAGGTTTTTGTCTTTTCGAGGAATACGTCGACCGTAGTGGGATTCGGGAAGGCTTCAACGGGACGGACACGCTCGGCTTAGATGAGCCCGCGCGAGCATCGTGTGTAGCTGCGTCTCGAGGAACATGGCAGCCGGGGACACGCGCCAGCGCACAGCGCGGAGGACCGCGCAAACCTGAACGGCAATAACACAGGTTTTTATTGTATGGCAAAAACCGTAAAACTACCCGTTATGATCGAGCACTCCTGTAAGACATTATCTTGGTCTTTTTTTAAAATGTAATATTTTGATCGTTATGAATTAAGTCTTACGCACGGCTTCTTTTGGCGATTTAACTATCTTGCTTAACGCATTTGAGTGGAGACGCACAACCTTACGTTTCTATGTTTTTAACTGGCCGATTAATAAAATAATTGTTGACTTTGACAGGCAGCTGTAACAAGTAATCCCCATTCACTTGAATTCGTTTACAAGGACAGTATTCTTACATAGCATAGAAATACACTCAAGTTTACAAGGAAGATTATTGTACGATTTGGCGCTCTCATACTAAGGTGGTTTATCGCTTTTTGTAGAGTTTGTAAGTTGGTCTATATTTATTTATAGATTTACGTATTTTTCTTGTTCTAAAATCTAATTGCGAAAGTCAATCAACCATTCGCTGCAATAACAGAAACCAGCGGGAGGTGGTTATTTGAGCAATTACAGCGCATGTTATGATTGGTTTTGCGAGTTCACCTACTTAACTGCCTCAACGACCATTTCTTTTATTTTAGTATCTAAGAAAAGTTCATAATCATCCCGTGACTCCAGCGCGTGTTTTCCTGTGGTTTATCTCAGCAGCTGCTCTTGACAATCCAGCTGTTTAGATGTGTAGTGCATTTCCTTTGGTCCTTCTACATTAAACAAAGAGACCCCCTTCTATCCTCGTTTGCTCTATGTAAATCAGAAGGTTTATGTTAGTAACTATTAAGGAGATTATTTGGCCCCTTTAATCTCCAATCTGAGGATTAACTGATGCTATATTGGTGTGTTCAGATTATTACGAATGTGCTCCGTTACGCTTTAGACAGTCGCGGTTAAATTTAGTCCGGATAGTTTATGCTGTAGTGTTTCCAATATTAAGCAATAAAAAAAGAAATCGTTATTATTTTCTTATAAATAGTCGTACTCTTACTTCTAATCGCCCAGTCTGTTGGTTTATTGAATCGTGTTTTTAAAAACGTCGCATCAAAACTAGTTCACTGGAATCCAGCCTTCCTCTGAAATTATCTGGATTGCATCGCACAATGGAGGAAGAAAACGTACCCCCGATTGACCCAGATTTTGAGCCCCAGAGCAGACCGAGGTCATGTACATGGCCGCTGCCTAGACCCGACATCTCAGCTGTCAAAGCCGGGGGGGGCGACGGCTCAGAGTCTGCTGCTGGAACTCCGCCCACCGAGGAAGATAAACACGAGCCTCAGCCAATCACATCCGAGCCTGAGAAAGTCACCGTCTCTGAGGGCGGGGTTGGGGCCAGCAACCACACAGAGCTCCTCCCACAACTGGGTGCCCAGCTAACTTCATTATTAAAGATGAGAACAGGTATCTGAATTTGGGTTTGTTTGAAAAGGATAGTTCACACAAAAACATGACATTTATTCACCCTCATATTGTTCCAAACCCATCTTATCTTCATGAGAACACAAAAGAAGACATTGTAAGATGATCTGTCAGTCAACATCGGTGGGATCCAATGTTGACTTTCATTTTAAGGGCAAAAATGGTTGAAACATTCTTCAAACGTGCTTGTGTTCTGCAGAAGAAAGTATGTCATACAGGTTTGAAACAACATGAGGATGAGTAAATGATTGTTTTTTTGTTTTAATGAACTATTTCTTTCATTTCAATTACGGTTTTGCATTATTCTTTATGTAAAGCTGTGTATCCTAATGTGTTAATCTCCTTTTCTCGTTATTATTATTTTTTTTTTTAACAGGATTGTTCCCCATTCTTAAAACAACTTTGAAAACAGATGTGGCATATTGCCTGAACATATTCTCAAATTTTTGCCTCTGCATTTGCCATTGTACCTCAAATACATAAACTTCTTTGGCTAAGGACAACACGTGCTTGGCCTAGAAGTCTCATGTCAGAATTTTCAATTAAATGACTAAATCAAACCTCATACATGTCCCAAGTGCCAATGTCAACTGAAGAGTGTGCTGTTGGACACAGAGAACATGGTCTTGAAACATATTTTTTTTTCTCTTCTTTTGTCTTATATGTGCAACATTTTAGTTTTGAAATTTGCCGTTTTTTGGGGGCAATCTTGGACTAAAGCACACCTAATAAACAGCTAATCATGTTTATTACATTATTTGCCTATGATGCGTAGTGTAAGATGGAGATGGTACTCCTCCTTGATCTTCTTCCCCCTGATAATGGAACTCATTTGGCCAGGAGGATCAAACTCTGCAGCTTTTCTTGATGTGAACTTGTTTGTTGAACAGCTTTGGAGAAGTCAGAGCAGCTGAGATTGATGGAGTGGCTTCCACAGCTGACCTGACGTTGCTGTTGCTCTCAGCATGAAAACAACAAGGCATCACAGGAATGTTAAGTTGAGAACATTGAGTGGCGACGGTTTCACTGACCACAGCTGAACTGTTAAGGTGTGCTCTCTCTCTCTCTCATCGGAATGAAGCATCAAAGTTTCAAGGTGGTTTGGTGACGCTGTGGTGTTCAATGTGCAATTAGTTTGGCTTTTATGACCTCTCACAAAGGCGTTTTCTTTTGATGTGCTGAAGAGGCTGATAACTGAATGATGATTTAACTGTCTGCTCTTAAGTGTTTAATGATAACAACAGTATGAAGAAATGTGATTTTCCACAGGGCATTTTAATGCATTTTTAATCCTGCCAACAAGTTAAATGGTATAGTGTTATTGTTGGAAACTTGGAGCCCTTTTGCAGAATACAATATCTGAAGATTTTGTGTGTGTGTGTGCAGGAGGGTGTGTGTGTACATTTGTGTGCGTTCAAATATGTTTAATGCTCCCGAAACTTGATTCCAACACACTAACAACAGAATTCAAGGTTACACTGAATAATTTCATTTAAGCGCAGAAGAAAGTTTGTTTTCTGAGTTATACGTGAGTTTGAAGCTAATCTTGAAGAAACATGGCTACAGTAATGAGATGTTATGGTTCCTCTGGCATGTTTAATTGTGTCCACAGACGCACAGAAGAAAAACTATTTTCTCATTGTTCAGTTTTTCATAAACAGCACTACTCATATTTTATAAAATTTATTATTAAAGAACAAAAACAGTTGCATATATCGACTATAATTCTAATTTAGATTGGGGCGTTGTCATTAACAGACTAATAAAAAAACATGCTGTTAATGAGCTTTTTTAAAATCTGAGTAGAAGCTATTTGAGATCATTTTTAACGGTCATTTTCTATGTAATCTTTTATTTTTGTAAAAGATGAAATGCATATAGATTTTATACAATAACCAAAAGAACACTAATAACTGCATGTTGGATGTATGCATTGCAGTGCAGATAAGCTTTACAAAACCTTTACAGTTCTTCAAAAGTTTAAATTTGCTATAATTGTTTGTGCTAAATAGAAAAAAAAAATGATTTGCTTGGTTGCTTTTCTAAGTGTCTAGGCAATTATTTCATCTCAAAACGCAAGACTGATCCAACCGAAAATTATTAATGCAAGGTTTCAATCTCAGGGTTATGAAAAATAGTAATTAAAACAACTTCTGGAAGTAATGAGATAATCATGTTATGACTTCAATGCTCATGGCCTTTTCTAAATTGTGAAAGTCATTTATGCAAGCCAACGTCACATAGATATTTTAGCATTGCAGAAATATATCTAATCTTGCAGTTTATTATGAGAGATGTATCTTTTTTTTTTCTCTCTTGTTTTGGGTTATGGTGGGATGTAAAACTAACAAGTTGTGCATAGCCAATATACTGTATATGTACTTGATTGCTTTTTTTATTTTGTCCCCCCCATATTTTGTTAGTCCGAGGTCATTGAAAGCAGTTCAGCATAATAGAAATAAACCTAATCTGTTTAACGCAGACTGTTTTAAGTTTGTTTCATTGGTCCATTCATTTGACATAAGCAGAGGTGCAGGGCAATTACTGAAATTAACTTTTCCACGACATTCTAATTTATTGAGATGCACCTGTATTTGAAGAACTCCCCAATAAACTCCAATTGTAACAGCTTGTCAGATCAAACAACACACACAGACTTTTACCAGAAGAGTTCATGTAATTGCTTTTATAAAATCACAAGCTTCACATTTCTGCTTTTAAACATACTCCAAAACGCTTGTATTAATGCTGGAATATTTTAATGTAAGTCTGAATTCCTGGTGTGATTTTCTCAAAGAAATGTGAATGGAGATGTAGCACTAGATGGCAGGATTGCACTGTTTCAGACGCCATTATTACAAATGGATTCCCAACTGATTGAGTGCTCAGTCTGATACTCTGAAAATATAAACCATTTGAGTTAATTATTTGCATCCATAAAATTAATTTACTAAATCTAGACTATAAAAACCTTTATTTTCAGACTTGATGACTAAATAAATACAAGACACATTAATGAAGTTGCATATCTTTATAGAAAAAATAAGCTTTCACATTTTCAAAACTTTTGCTTATTTTTCAAGTTTTTTTTTTTCTTTTGGTTAGTTTAAATTTTTATAGTTCCTACATTTACGTGGTAAATAAACATTTTTGGCAATAGCCATGCTCGCTCAGTCTCCAGCGATGAGGCACAGTCCTCTTCCAGCTGAGGTGGTGGAGACAGTCTGGAAGTGTCCACGTTTCAGGGATGTGGCAGACCGCCATTCAAGAACAAGCATTTAAGACAGTCCCGCTTAAGGTCGAATGGCCGTGCTGCAGTCCTATTCTGCTCCTGACAAATGCCTCCGGATGTCCATTACCGTCGGTCGGCCTAGATGATGAACATCTTCCATTCTCAGCTTGAATTAAAGCAGTAGCACGAGGCTTAGCTCTGAGACTTCAGTCCAGTTTAACCAGGACTGACTCATCAGTAGTCAAAAGGCACCGTGCGCCCAGCACAGACTGCGGCTCCTGTACACATTTCTGCTGATTTACATACCTTGGTTTCTAAATCTAAACAGTTCAGACAAGAGCAAAACTGACACCAACAACATCACCCTCCCTCAAAATGACAAGATGCTAAAATAGCAACAGAAGTAATGCAATGTTGAAAAATAAACACATAAAACCAACCATAGGTGTCGCTCAAGTCATTCTGCCAACTGTAATTAGGTAACTAGACCGATGAGAGTTTAACACAGTACAGGTATTTGGCCTTGTCAACAAAACTGGACATTGAATATATTCATGGCATCAGAGGGGCCATCGCCTCTCTAAGCGGTTTGTAACAATGACAGCTGCCAGCTGCAACCACACTTGTAGGGTTTTGTGCAAAAGGTTCAGTGCAACAACAAAAAAAAAATTTTGTGCAGGTCAGTTATAGGATGGATAGTGACAGGCTTATAGTTCTGTCAGAAGTCCTTCATTTAATCTATACCAGCGTGTCAACATTAAAATCACATTTTAAGCTTATTCTGAGCTCCTTCTCACATAACAAGGTGAATTGAAATTTTTACATGGTAAAATATTTTAAAACAAGTCCTAATTGTTGTTGATCCAAATGTCTTCACCGGCGACGCCAGCACAACATTAACCTAAACTATCAAATGCATGCGGCCTATCAAAATTAAAGACCTGCTTTTAAATGGTATTTGAACAGTTTTCCAAGTTAGAATATGATATAATGGAGTTGAAATATATACTGTGGTAATTTGGCCCGTTCGTGTAGAGCAGGTAAAACCGACTGCCCACCCCTAAGTAACTGAGAAACACTGAGAACACGACCACAAAGAAAAGTAGTTTAGAAAAAGCGATTCCATTTCACTGCTTTGAACCAGTCAAATTTAGATCTTCACATTGTAAAGCGGTCTGCTGAGATGAATCGGATGATAATTATGGATCCTATAAATGTACCCATTTTAATCACTTACAGCACCCATGCAGAGAGAAGAGCGAGTGGAAGATTAAAAAAAAAACAACATCAATGCTAATCGATCGAAATGAGTGAAAACAGTACTTCGATGACCTGCTGTGTGCTGAAAGAAGCCACAGCTGAAAGCTTATTGAGATATTCTATAGATAGACACCGTCTTAAAAGTGCTCATTTAAAAAGAAAGTTGCAGCCGTTGAACCTTCTCTTACTCTTTGTTGAATTTTGCTCTGGTCTCACAATTCCACATTCAAACGAAATATCTGGAAGCCATGTTAAGCAAAGTGCCTTTGTCCAATCACTCATTTTCTGTAAACAGTGACTCAAATTGGCCATGACCAGTTGGACACTTTCTCTCTCTCTCTTTGTCAGTCAGTTGAATAGCAACAGCAAAAAAACAAAAAACACACAAATGGGAAAATATTAATAACAACGACAACAGCAACTGAATAAAAATAATTGCACATTAACCATCCGGGATAAAGATACTAAAAAAAAAAAAAAGGAAAGGTAGAAAAAGAAGAGTCCGCACACAAAAGGACAACTACAGAAACAAAATGAAGTAGGAGAAACACATGCAAAGGAGAATGAGAGCGACTGCTTTACACCTTTTTTCTTCTAAAGTTTCACCTTTGGCACAGAAATGTTTCACAGCAGTACCTTACGTCACACCGGTAAACTCAGAGACAACAAATACAGAGACGGAGAGACAGATCTCTGCTTGTATTTCTTTGTACCATGTCCCTCTGTGGCGCTGAACGCTCGTGTCCTATGCGATCATGTATTGAGTGATGGCTCGGAGCGCGTACAGCAGCTCGGCCTGCAGACGTGCCTCCATCACTAACAAATTTACATGAACCTAAAAGACAAAAACGACAGAAAGATTTGTTTTAAAACACTTAAAGCCATTTTAAGTAGATGGTATATTTTATTATTATTTTTTAACACCATGTCAGTAGCACTTTTATGGCAAGAACAAAATAACAACAGTCGTACAATTTTCTAAAATTAAATGGAACGGTTTAATAAATACAACAACAACAACAAAAAAGTTCAAAAGCATGTGTTTGTTGTTGAGTATCATATTTGATACATCAGGCTTTTCTAGCTCATTTAGTATGATAGGATAATACGGAGTTCACACTCTAGGAGGAAAAAACACCTATCGTGGGGGGCAAAACATATTATGCAGTGCAATACATTGATGACTGAGAGACGAACAAATAAATATTTCTCCAAAAAAAAACTAATAAGTATTTTAACATGATTTTTCTAAAAATGATGTACAGATAATCAAGTTGCTTCAATCCAGTAAGTGTTGAAATTATATTAACAATAAGATTTCACAGCAAAAATACACATGAACCACAACCTGAAGAGGGATGTTTTTAGAATTATACTAAAATACTTCTTACTTGCTAAAAAATATGAACTATCAATCAGACGGCAGAATGCATGAAGTAAATTGTGTGAAACTTTTTCAGTAAAGCGGATCATGATGATAATTTAAAGAATTTGTGCATCAAATGTGACCCTGGACCACAAAACCAAGTCATAAGGGTCAAATTTTGGAAATTGAGATTTATACACCATGAAAACTGAATATGAATATGAATATACACATGAAAGCTGAATAAATAAGCTTTCCATTGATGTATGGTTTGTTACGATAGGACAATATGTATTGGCCGAGATGTAACTATTTGAAAATCTGGAATCTGAGGGTGCTTAGCAAAGCATATTACTAATCAAAAATTAAGTTTTGATATATTTACGGTAGGAAATATACAAAATATCTTCATGGAACATGATCTTTACTTAATATCCTAATGATTTTTAGCATTAAAAAAAATCGATAATTTTGACCCATGCAATGTATTTTTGGCTATTGCTAAAAATATACCCAAGCGACTTAAGACTGGTTTTGTGGTCCAGGGTCACAAATATGACACATTAGGCTTTATAGGGTTAAGTAGATGTTACTGAAGTGTACACAGCACAAGTTTTGATAGGAAATCACCTTGTCTGAAGCTTTGACAGGGGCCCAGGACAGTGGGCATAGAGGGGTCTTGCTGGAGTCAGGATAGCAGGCCACAGCTTTGATATAAAGTTTCAGTCCACGCTCCAGTAACCGGCTGACTTCCCCATAATCGTAGTCATCATATCTGAGGGCAAACATGTCAATGTAAGTGCTTTGTTTTTGTGCCTTTTTCAGCATTCTCAAAAGTAGTTGATGAGTCACAAGGTGTGATTATGGAGTTGAAAGCTTGCCATTATATTTCATTTCATGTTTCTTTTGTATTCAGAATGCAAACTAGCACCAAAATGCAAAATTGCAAAACACCAGGGAACCAAGGTACCTGATGCCGTAGATACAATGGATGTAGTTCCAGATGGCTCGTTTGAGATCGGGGCTGTGAGGGAAAGGGAGGGAGGCCACACTGCGGAATCGCTCGTCTAACAAGTGCCCTATATCAGAGTAGAGCCTGTTCACCAACGAGAAGCCGTGATCCTCCCATGAATAGTCCTGCACAGAAAGACAAATAAATCAAGCATTCATAACATCAACTTTACTGCAGTATTTTAAAGTCTGTTAAATGTAAAGTGCATAATTTCGGCATCATTAGTGTCACCAAACAGATTTGCCTAAATAAATTACCTTTTCAAACAGGTTTCCCCAAATGCTTTTTGGGGGGAGAAAAAAACAACAACCTACAAACTTACTTACAGTTCTTTCCATATATAAACTACTATTCAAACATTTGGGGTCAGTATGATTTTAATGTTTTTGAAAAAAGTATTTTATGCTCACCCAAGGATGCATTTATTTGATAAAAAAAATACAGTAAAAACAGTAATATTGTGAAATAATATTATAATTTAAAATAGCTTATCTATTTTAATATATTTAATATATCTATAAAATATAATTTATTCCTATGACAAAGCTGATTTTTCAGCAGCCATTATCAGACTTCAGTGTCACATGATCCTTCAGAAACTATTGTAATATTCTGATTTGCTGCTCAAGAAACATTTATTATCATGAATATTATCAAGTTTTTAAGTTTTTTATTAATTGGAAAGAACAGCATTTATTTAAAATATTTTTTGTTACACTATAAATATATGTACTCTTACTTTTGATCAATATAATGCATTCTTCCTGGATAAAAGTATTAATTTATCTCTTTCTGACCCCAAAATTCTAAATATAACTTACCAGTACCATCCAACCTGACAGAACTGGAGAGGATCTGCAGTGTGTGTGTATGTATATATTTAAATGTTATATATATATATATATATATATACGCACACATTTATTTTCACTATAGGAGTGGCATACTCCCATTCAAATCAAATGTAGAAAATGTAGTCAGGTTTTGAGAGTAACGTTAAGTGTTGACAGTCTTGAGAAGGAAGGCTATAAGCTGTAATTCTGACCCTTAGTACCCTTTTATGCTACTTCTGTTAGGTGACACCCAATGCAAAGTCTCTGTCCCCACCTGCACCCGGAATACTTGGAAATGGTCCTCCTCCCGTCTGGCAAATTCCTGGTAGCAGAATTCTGGGTCTGTGACGAAGCGGGAGGGGTCTGCGGAGAACATCGCCTCGTCCTCCTCCTCCACATCTAATACGGAGTTGCATTTGAGAAAGAGCAAGGCAGGTTATGAAAGTGGGTCCACGAGGGAGTGATATATACACAAGAAAAAGCCCTTGTGTAAAAATAACTCTAGACACTCATCCCAATCCAAAATTACACATCCTGTTTACACCAGCATTGGGAAACATGGTTACATGACACACTGACTTTAAACTGATGAACAACGTCTTACCTGCATGTGGGAGTGTCTGTGAATGGAGTCGGTCTCCTTTTCTTTCCTTGATCTCCTCCTGTGATTTTTGAATTTGTTCTCGAAGGCAAGCAACTTCACAGCTGGAGTCTAAGGACTAAAAAAAGAGCCAACTGTTAAGAACAAACCATGCAGGTTATGCCTGCATTACAACTGACTTCACATTGCTATCCTAGGGATGTCAGAAATATTGTTAATTAAGTAGCAAGCTGCTATTTAAGTAAAAAGAATAGTAGTCTTTCTACAGTGTCCATAGTGCCAACTATGTTCCCAAGTGGTATCACCATGATCAAGTCAGCCTATTATGAAAATGACAGTAGAGCAGTAAGACTGTGCTTTTGATGTATTAATTTTTGTAGAATTTGTTTATTTGTACTTTTTGTGATATAACTGAAGTAGTTTATTGTACACTACCAATTTTTTTAAACATTTTATGAAAGAAGCCTCTTATGCTCACCAAGGGCACTGTTATTCAAACACAGTAAAACAGATATATTGTGGATTATTATTGTAGTTTAAAATAAAGGTTTTCTATGTGAATATTTTAAAATGTGATTTATTCCGGTAATGGCCAAACATGCTGGTCTGGCATGTATACTACATCATTTTGTGTCGGTTTCGTGGGGATGCAGATATTTCTTGAGACGAGGAGAAAAAAAAAAAAGATCGGATGGGGAAAGCTCTGGCTTCGTGTGGACGTAGCCTAAGTTTCATGAATTCAACATGTTTTTTGATTAATAAACTTTAATTTAACCATTAAAATGGAGTCCAGAAAAATAAAAACGGGGGAAAAATACAGATTCCAGAAAATTTTTTATGGATTTCATAGGGCCCTATCAATGTAACCCCCTTAAAATAACATTTAATAGTGTTTGTAGCATTCCTCAAACAAAAAAAAAGTAAAGGAATAGTAGCAAACAAACACGGCGGGTCCTGCGGGTCTGGACGGACAGTAACAGACATTCCTCACTAACAGCGACCCACTGCCATTTCGGCCTTCTTTAGTGTACAGACTACTAGACAGACGTCTGTAGACCTCAATCTCCCACTTTTACACCCCAAGATGCTTAAAATACATCCAGATTATAAAAACGGCAATGGACACCATACCCATGTATAATCACAGGCAAAACTGGGGAATTGTGCTTTAATTGTCCATATTTAGCTTAGGGAGTCTATTTTAGACAATTTGTGGAAAGGAAATCAAAGTGAAAATCGCAAATACAATGTCCTGATGTCCTTGATTGACTGGTGTTGAGGAGATCTGTTGATTCATGTCTTCATGTTTTTAGATGCTGACTGAAGGCCAACCGAGGCCTTGTGCCTGCGCCTTTGGCCTGCTTTGTGTCTGACTGGGGGATTATGGAAATCCTGCCCACTCCCCTCCTGTTTGTGTGCCTCACAGTGAGAGCAGCAGAAGAAGCAGGAGACTGGAGAGTAGTGAGAGAGCAACTGAAGCAAACAGAAGCAGACTGGTGAAAATGGGTTTCACTGGACTAGAGGAAAAGAACATTTGTAATCATTTTCTGCCATTTATCAGTGCATAAGATTCATTATTCATCATTATTGTGCATTAAACTGTAGTTACAATCTCCACTTTGAAACTACTTAATTTTTCTGATGATGTAACAAAGGCTAAGTGGCTGGGTAAAAACAATACCAATTTCACAATTACACAGAAATTTGTCACATTATCGAAGTTCAACGGAATTTGAAGGCCATTTAAGTTCTCTGGCAAAACCAGTTGAGTTCAGACAAACTTTACCCGTTTACTTTACAGTTTGCAGTGGTTCATACAGCTCCATAACTTCACAATGGATCTGTTCACGGTTTTATTTTGAACTTGCACTCAAGTATAAAGAAATAGTGAGTGCTTAGTTCAAGGCTGATAGAAACTAGGGTTGGGCGATGTCTACCAAATTGGCATCGGACGATTTCTACAGTGAAACATCGTGATGGACGATGACATCGGGGGGAGGGGGTGCCCGAAGCGTGAAACCGTATGCAGAAAGGCATGGAAAACAAATAACGCATTCTATGGAGCCACTAAAGGGACATGGATAGGTGCTTGCTAGCGGTAAGACTGTTACATTAAAGTACATGAAAGTTCACTTACCACATACACAGAGTAAAGGCGGGCGTACAAGGTGCGATTTTTGCTGTCGTACGAGCTCATAGACGATTTTTTTCTCTTGGGATAAAATCGCAGATGCTCGCATGGTCGCGGCTCGTACCGTGTGAGAAGAAGTACAGGCCGATCCGAGACGTTACGTTACGAGCACCTCCCGTCCTCCCGATAATTTTCAAACATGTAAAAAAAAAAAAAATCGGATGTTGTCGGTTTAAATTCGTGGCTTACGTGCAGTTGAACGAGACAATTTGGCGATCCATCTGAAGTTGACCAATCAGAAGATGACAAAAACCATATAGTCTATAATAATTTTAGTTTAATTATACAGTTCTATTTTTTATTTGTTATTCCGAATGTGCCAAATTTGCCGTTCAGCTTTATGAATGAATATGCCTGTTGTATTTCCGGCAAAACGAGCAGAAATTCAGAAATGGCCTACTCCCTCGAGTTCTTTATGAAGAACAGAAAGTCAATGCTTTTCTCTGCTTTTCAGCCATTCTCTTTGCCATGTCCTTTGTCGTTTTTTTTTTTTGGACGTCACAAGCCTCCTGCCACAAAGAAAACTATTTCATCCTCAGAACCCATATTTTTATGAATGGCGTGAAATGTAATGCTTACGTCAGAGTTTGTAAAATCGTAGTAAATTAGTGTCGTGTGTGACTGCCTCCATACGATTTTCGGATAAACTCAATCGTGACATGTGCCAGAGCTCACGACGTTCCGACCTTCAGAATGTACACACGCTTTAAGGAGAGATGACTGATAGGACAATGACGAATGATTTGCAGATACTGAGCACCACTGACAAATATCTAATCTTGTAAAATGTGTGGTAGCAGCAGTACCTACCATTGAGCTCCATAGTATAGAGTCCGTGTGATTGCGAATCTCGAAAGTGAAAGTGAAAGTAAAATGAGAGCGCGCATTCGAAAGCGGTTTCAATGCCCTGCATATTAGTAGCGGCTCCCTGATGCCCGCAATTTATATACAGTATAATTACGAGAGAAAGTATTGACTTTTTTTTTTTATCCTCCCATCTCGTAAGATATTTATTCCCTTTAGGGGTTCTGTGTGGTCTACGTTATACTCCGGCTGACAGCAGCAGTGTCACTGTAGCAACATACGGTGATATGTTCCGCGACAATGTCAGTGACACTGACACAATCCATCGGCACATGTCACAAGTATCAGTGGCACATGCCACTCTCCACTGACACGTCAGTGAAAACCAATAGTGTCACCGGATGTGCCACTGAGCCTAGTGGCATGTGCCAATGGTTTCCGTACATCAGATGTCACTTAATGCTAATACTGCCTCTCTCCGCCATGGTTTCCTCATTATTCACATAATTTTTGCCGCGTGCACCTTTGCGCTCATGCTGACGCGGCAAGTATAAACCAGTTTATACACCCAAAGCGCTCGCACTGAAAGCCACTCTCTCAGTTTCTTCAAGTGATCAGTGAAATCGGACTCCTGCTGCCCTGTGCTGTGGCTCTGCAGCGCGCGCTGTATGGAGCAGAGCAGACGCTTTGGAGCAGCGCAGACCATGTAATTGCACAAATGCGACCACGTCAAATGTTAACACGCACATTCTCAAAAACATTGTCGCAGTCTAGAGCCCTGATTTGATATAGATATTTATCACATACCATTAATAGGAAAGGAAATGCTTTACATGTTTATAAGACAAATTAAGAATTAATATAAACATAACTTATTGGTTTACAAGCAAACTTCACATGCTAAACTACTTTTTAATTTAGGTCTCCACAAAATCAGTTTTATTTTTTCCCAAATTCTGTGTCAATTTTGTTTTATTATTATTATTTTATATTATTAATACTTTAATAAGTACATTTGGTGAATTTTTTCAAGTTAACTTTTATTTTGGCAGTTTGTCGTGAAGATCTTTGAGTTTCAGTTTGTGTTTGACGATAGCTTTTCTCAAGTGAAAAGGCGAAATGTTGGTGTAGTGACTCAGAGCAGCTCTGCAGATGAAGTTCATGAGAACTATCTTCATATAGTGAGACAGCAGATGCTGAAAACACCACGACAAAACTGTGCCGCTCATTCACCCAGAGACAGAGAACATGCAGAGCTTTTAGTGACATTGACCTGATCGTCTAGATGTTGGCTAAATATTAATTTGCTCAAGTTTATTATCAATATTGTTTCCCAATAAATACAGTTTTATCGCCTAGCCCTAGTCTTGACTCTTGGCTTTAATTTCTAGTATGTGATATTAGATCAGTTATAGTGTTCGTCAGTGAGAGGGTTGCTTCTGTACTTCTTTCAAGTAAACTACTGCTCCGTGGGTTTGGCTGGAGTTAGTCATGGCGATGAGGGGGTCGGTTACACTTTCTGGGGTGGGGGGAGAGCAGAGGATAAGCTCTGACTGAACGCAAACATGAACGTGGTCACGTATTGCCTGAAATCTTGTTACATTGTTACGGGGGACAACTGAGAGCCGTGGCCAAAACAGCTCTGGGCCATCATAACTCTTCCTGACAGTACTGAAGATTCACACTGACAGCACGGCACGTACTGCGCCTAAAATCCCTTTGAGTCACTATACTTTTTGTGTCTCCAAATACCACTTAAATTCACATAAAAGAGTTGGTATTTTTTTTAGCTAACTGAAACTCTGTTCACTTTCTTCATTGCTGATTGGTGGGGAAAATATGTGGGTAACAAATTACACCCAGGCCTATGGATTAGTTGTCCAGTCGCAGCTCTTCACACAGCGCCTGACAGAAAGGAGAAGGTTATAAATAGTTCTGGAGGACAGCTGAGATAGCACATGCATAGATAAGAAAGAAACACCATTCCTGCGCAAGGGACACCAGAAAATAAGAACGGTCACAGCGTTTTACTTACGCAGGATGTCATAAACATCGCTCCGGACAGGTTCCTCAAGTAAATGTTCATGAAAGGGAATAATCTTAAAAACTAGACTAAGCCCTTGGTCAATATTTGCTTCTTAACTCAATTTAACATGAATTTCCAAAGAAATGTAGATCTGCACTGAGGTGCAGACAGTGGTTTGTCCTCTACTGGAAAATGCGTCAGCCTAACCTATGTTTACTGAGATATTTGAATGCCTGAAACTTAACATTTAATATTAAGACCATTTAAAAATAAAATTACACTACATCTGGTAAATGACTAATTTTGAGAGGCAACTTGATGAAAAAGGAACAAAGACACTCTCTTCTATTAAAGAAAAAGATCTGTGTCAAGGCAGAGCTGAAAGCTGCGATATGTTTCTGCCCGAGACACAGGTGTCTTGTCATTCAACAGTCGAGGCTTGCGAAACATGTGCAAGCAAAACATGCCATACAAAGTATCACAGTATAACGTTACAGTTACCTAGAAAGTCAGGCATTTAGATGCTCCAGATCAAGTACCCATCAAGGTCTATTTTTTTTTTTATAACTTCCATAGGTTTGTTGTGTCCCAAATGACACACTATACTACAAACTAGTAGGTACTCTAATGACTAGAATACGAACTTTATAAGGTTATGTTTTCATCCAACACTAGAGTCTAGTCATTCAACAGTCGAGGCTTGCGAAACATGTGCAAGCAAAACATGCCATACAAAGTATCACAGTATAACGTTACAGTTACCTAGAAAGTCAGGCATTTAGATGCTCCAGATCAAGTACCCATCAAGGTCTATTTTTTTTTTATAACTTCCATAGGTTTGTTGTGTCCCAAATGACACACTATACTACAAACTAGTAGGTACTCTAATGACTAGAATACGAACTTTATAAGGTTATGTTTTCATCCAACACTAGAGTCTAATAGCCTGTCCCCATGTGTTACATAAAGAAAAGCGGCAACAGTTGAGTGCATGAAATGTTCAACATTCCACACTTAATTTTTTTGGTTAAGTACATCATCCAGGTATTTGAAATGCACTTTTTCTTTTTGGAATTTCCAGTGTTAACATGCTACAGTGAACATTTATTTTTCAAATAAAACTATAATTATTGGGATACATTTTACAAGAAAATACTGTTTCAGTCTTTCTACTTTAAAATGTCATGTTAAACTAAGTGTGTTACTTGTCATTTCTTTAATTGTAAAATTTAGCTACTAGCAATTTCTGAGTGAAAATTGTTTTGAAGTATTTTTTAGTGTACTCGCTCTATTTATACTATAAAATAGCATTAAACAGTGCACACGTATGTGAACTGGGACGCACCTATTGTTTAGATGCCATAAGCATTTTGCGCTGGGAAAAGCTCTAAGAATATAGAAGTGAAAATACAGTCAACCAAGAACCATATTGGCAATAAAGCACAAGCCACATTGGGACAAGTCATTTAAACAAGACTAAGATGTTGAGGTCAGCCTCAAACAACAGTTCAAACACTAGTCTCCACTGGGACACTAGTGCACTATCCCTGGTAAACAGATCACATGTCTCAGAGCCCAAAACTCCTCAGTGGTGACCCAGAAAAACAGGCAACTGCAAATACAGATATATTCAACATGCTATTGTGGTTCAATACAGAGTGTTCATTTCACAGCCTGTATCAGCAGCTGCAGAAAATCGCAAGGGGGAATCTGTATCCATGGAACGAGACAAAACAACTTGCAATTAACTACTAATGAAACTTCAGAGGGAAATTAGAGACTAATGCAAGTCATATGGGAGGCTGAGAGACGCTCACACACCCACACAGATGAGCCTCAATGAATCCATGCAGCAGATGCTGTCAACCGAGGTTTTTGTATATATAGGCTACCAAGCGGCAATCAACAGAAGATGTTGGTTAAACTTGTCAATTAGGGTATAAAGTTCATAACACCATCACAGTTCATGGTCAACAGTGTTAGGTTAATTTGAAACTTTGGGGCGATTTTTTTGTCGATACAGGATGCCTCATCAGCACCAGTAACATGCACCGACATGTCTTTACCAACAGTCAAAACGAAACAGGAAGTCAGTCTCATATCCTCTTGGCGAGTCCCTCAAATTCAGCTGAATTTTTTTTTATTGGGTAAAGGTGCCACTTTCGGCAATCATAATTCCTGTTTCCGTGAACAATGACAGCACACATGGCCTTTACATAATAATTCAGTTATTTGTTTGATTAAAACAAGTTTAAGTGCCACAGAACGCAGCATCTGTGTGAGATATTAAAGAAACAATGAAGTGCAAGATCTCTCCATGAACAAACAAAACTGTGTTTAGATTTGAATATATTTGCATGTACTCTTGCGTTGAGATTTGAATGAGTTCATGTGTTTATTCTAGCTGGTCAAACACACACGTACACACAAAAAATAAAAAAAATCTAGAAGTGGAATAGAGGCATTAAAGGGATAGTTCACCCAAAAATGTAATTCTATCATAATTTCCTCACCCTGTTTTTTTGTCCAAACAATGAAATCTATGACCACCAAAACTGTTTGGTTACCAACATTCTTTAAAATGTTGTCTTTTGTGTTTTGAAAGTGAAAGTGACATGTGGCCAAGTATTAACCCATCCAAAGTGAACACACACACACTGTGAACACACACCCGGAGCAGTGGGCAGCCATTTATGCTGTGGCGCCCGGGGAGCAGTTGGGGGTTCAGTGCCTTGCTCAAGGGCACCTCAGTCGTGGTATTGAAGGTGGGAGAGAGCGCTGTACATTCAATCCCCCCACCTACAATTCCTGCCGGACCGGAGACTCGAACTCGCAACCTTTGGGTTAGTCATACAGGGTTGAAACTACACGAGTAAATGATGCCAGAATTTTTATTAGTGGATGAACGATCCCTTTAATTGTGCGACATATCACTACTTAAATAAAACAGACAAACATAAGCCTGGTGGTATTGAAGGTGGGAGAGAGCGCTGTACATTCAATCCCCCCACCTACAATTCCTGCCGGACCGGAGACTTGAACTCGCAACCTTTGGGTTAGTCATACAGGGTTGAAACTACACGAGTAAATGATGCCAGAATTTTTATTAGTGGATGAACGATCCCTTTTAATTGTGCGACATATCACTACTTAAATAAAACAGACAAACATAAGCCTGCTGCTCATCTTTTGTCATTTGAGGACGGTCTAAACATGAGGCTCTAAATGACAGGGGGCTTCAGTTCAGGGCCTGAGTCCAGAATAAGAGCGAGATGCGATATTCAATCTGCATTCTCAGAAGGCCTGGAGGGCTCAGTCCTTGACTTGCCAACTGCTGTTGCACAAACCCCATCTCTCTCCCTCTCTACAAAGGAAACTATTTTCGGCTTGCCAACCTGGAAGCTAGGAAGAACAAAACAGCCAGCTGCACCTCACAGGGGGTTGGACTGAAACAAGGCCGGCAGCAAACACACACACACACACACACACACACACACACACACACACACAGACAAACACGGCAAGCCACATATGGATGCAGTCAGATAAGCAGGAAGACTGACATTTACATAAACCGACAGTGTGACACACATTCAGCAGCTTGCATATGACGGACAGTGAAGTGAAGACAGATTATTGATGAATCACATTTCCGTCTGGAAAGTCCAAGATTTGGTTTGCTGGTGAAATCTGTTATGTCTGTAATTTTGCCATCTTTGTGCTTTGTGGTCTTTATATCCATTAGTCAATCATGGTCAGTTATGCCTCAAACATATATATGTGTGTGTATGTGCGTGCCATAAGCTACATAATAGATTGCGGTTGCATTACATGTTTTTAAACTTATTTTACCATACTGTTCTGACAAGGTTACAAAAGCAGCATAGTCAGGACATTAAAAATGCTCTCTATGTGAAACATATCAGGGAGCTCTGAAACGCATACAATGCCATTATAATACTTCTCACTTACAAATGGACCAGTGGTTAGTTGAGGGAAAAAAGAAAACGAGTTTATAATGTTAACAATCCAAGTACAAGCCTATGGGATTTTTTTATGGGCTGGCAAATGAGAGCATATTTCTGAGAAATGTTTAAATGACACATTCCTCTGTTGTTCTCCTGTATGCAGAGCAGCGCCACCACAACAGCGGCCCCCGCAGGCTGCAGGAGGTACTGCAGGCGAAAGGGGAGAAAAACAACTTTGATTGGCAGTACATCAGCATCACATCACACAACATTCACACAACAAGACCAAAAAGTCAAGCATGAAGAAATGTTAATAAATGCATCTTCCCTTAAAGGTCGTTCAGATTGTCGTGTCACGGCTTACTGTAACGACAAAGGGCTTTGTGTTCAGCGAAAAATTACACTACGACAGCGCTTACAGACAAATGACAGATTTTAATTTTTATAAAAGCGTATACGCAAGCAGATTATGCTTAAAAATTAATGATAAATGCAAAATGAAGAAAGAAAATAACGAGTTGAATGTTCGAGAAATGAATGTCGATACGACCCGAAGCCACTCAGTCAGTTGTCTTCGCGCATAAAACAGGAGCTTCATCTCACAAACAACTCAACAAAAGGCTCAGACGTGCCCGAGAGTGTCCAACCTACAAAACTTCAACATGCCAGCATCAGTAGAAAAGCTTATGTAGGTGGAGATCATTGTTAAACTCACAACCATGGCTTCATCTGCACCAAAGGCTTTCAAGACTGTTCCAGGCTGCAGTCTTACATCCTCGTGAAGCTTTGCTTTTAATACTTGGGATATTCAACATCAGGTTTTTCAAATGCACACCTTTATGACTGGTCAACATAATAGTTGCAATATGAAACAATGGCTATCTGAACCCAACTGAAGTATGAACTAAGCATATGCACGACAAACAGGCTTATATAGCTTATCTTACTCTTTGTCATAAACGCAATGGATTTGCAAATAATTTCATTCCATAAAATACAAAGCATGTCATAGGATCACTACCGCAGCTCAAACGTTAAATCCAAGTAAAATGAACAGCAAGCCTGCAGTTTTATAAGGTGTAAACACTTTTGTCTGGTCAGAAATGAACTTAATTTCAGGAACAAGAAATCATTAACAATGAATCGGCGTTTGAAACTCAAAACAAATAGTCAGTGTTTGAAACGTGGCGATCAGACAGACAAATATGAAACAGATAGATTCTGCTAATATATGCTGTGTTTGAAAATAACGGATATTATTTTCTTTCATAGAGGGACTCTTGAATATGCATTCATAAACAATGCTACACGTAACTTATATCCGTTTAAGAAGCGTTTTAAACATGAACGACATTAAAGAGTCGATGCTTTAGCGAAGTAGATGAACTGTCAACTTTGAAACTTCCCAGCAAGAGTCTAGATACAGCTATGGGTTATCGTTACAGTTATTATCTTCACTTCAGTCATATATATATATATATGTATGTGTGTTACCTGATTTTGAACAAACTGGTACTGTGTTCCAAGGCGATAGTCCATGTTTTTCGTGCAGATGATCATTTTCCTCCCTGTAAGCGCATGAATGCGGCTCCTCCGGCTTCCCTGGTTCTTCTCAGCGACTCGCTAACAAAGGCCAAGCCGCTATGAGCTCTACATGTCCGGACATACAGCCGCAGTGTCACTGAGCGAAAAAACTATTGACTGACACACTTCCACAGTGATGCCGTCCAATCAGAGAGTTAGTGAGGCGGGTCTAAGAGTGGAGCGAAGGCCAATCAATTTTTAGTACTGGATTTTTTTTTTTTTTTTGTGACGGCTGCGTTTGTCCGACATCCCGACATCCGAGCCAATGAGCGCCCGTCATGTGGTGGAAAACTACCTGTCTGTTAAACACATTAAGCCCGCCCACTTTCATGACGCAATGCCACCTGACAACTGGTTGCCATACCGCACTGTCTGTCTTTTTTTTTTTTTTCATTATTATTTTTATTTATTTATTTATTTTTACCTGTATTATTATTTATATAATACTGTATATTTTCTATTTCTTTTTTGTAGTTTATATTTGTTCGGTACCTTTATATTATATGTCGGAAATCAATAAAAAAAAATGTAAAAAAAAATACTGCACTGTCTGTGAAAAAAGAAATTGGCACCTAGATGCATTTTTTTTAATTCTATTATAGATAATAAAAATTGGAAGACTGTCAATACCCTTTAAATATTGTATTCATAATAAAACGAAATAAGTAGGCTACATTTTTAAATCTTGCTTATCCTATTTACCCTGTTAAATTATTAATTTCAAGATACTCTGATATTGATGATTTATGTTCCTTTTGTAAAAGTAGGGAGCTGTTGACTCATTTGTTCTTTTAATGTAAAACTGTGCAAAACTTTTGGATGGAATTGGCAAAATTAGTTTTTAATTTAGAAAAGGTTAACTACGTTTTTATTTTAAAGGATATTATTGTGCATTATGAAAACAAAACTAACAAAGGTCTTGAACACATTGTTAATTTATTGATATTGCTGGCAAATATTTTATATAGGCTACATAAGCAAAAATGTTTAAACTCATCCTCATTGTTTATGTTGTTTATTGTTGAATTTGATTGTTTTATGTCTGCTTTGAAATTGTTAAAAAAGTAATTAATAGCCTATGTTTAAAATATTATGATAGTATTTTCAGATCCCGTTACCATTTAGATTATTATTTCATGCCATGCTTTGTTCGGTACTTGTTTCCCTTCAATATATATCAATATATCAATAATAGCCTACCGCACTCTCTGTGAGAATAACTTATAGCTTGTTTTGAATGAATTATTTGGCCGTTATTTCACTCGACCAAATATGTCTAAAAATGTCATAGACATTCAAATGAACAACAAACACCAACATCTGACTGCTCAAGAGAAAGTGTTTAAATGAACTCATTTGAAGCTCTATATCCTGCACTGTGGTAATCTAAGCACTATTTAGAAGAACCTTACATTTTTATCTGATTGGGAGAAAAATAATCCACTATCCCTGTGTATGCATACTAGTATTCGAGATGAGTAATCTTGAGTAGGCTACTATTTAGGGTTGATATTATGCAAATTGAGATGTAGGGTATAATAGTTTTTTTTATAATAGAAATCATTCTTGATCCCCTCCATTCATTTTCCTCCAGTTGAGACTCTCACAGCTATAAAGGCCTTCTATTTTTTACCTTAAGTAAAATATGCTTGAGTAATCATGCATTTGGAAAATTGCACAATAATGCGCAAAGAGACAATTCTGGGAGCTAGGCCCATTGCTTAAAAAATGAGGCTTTGCACAAACATTTAATGGGTGTAACCCTGTCCCCTGTGCAAACTGAGTAGGCTATATCTTACAGGACCTTAGTGGGCTCCTTGTCACAGAATCCAGGACAATGTTCCTGGTTGTTCCCTGTTCCCTGGTTGTACCCTCCATTAATATACTGGGACTTAAAAAACACTGCTTTTAACTCCGATTTTGTCATTCAGTGAGTATAAATCTCCACATCTTTCAAACATTAACAACATATTTTATATTCTTCCTCAGACTATTAATTTTACAGCATGAGCAATTTTATTCACTATAATACTGAATATGTGAAATTTTGAATAAAACCAGATTTGGACTTTCATAGGCTATCATCTATCAGCCTTTATGTCATCTATGCACTAGAACTGTTCTAAAAGTTCACAAGGTGCTCTGAAAGGATGGTCGGTCAGGGATCATATACTCATGTATGCCTCTAGCCTTACAGAAAAAAACAATGGTATTTCCACTGTAAAAATTAACATGAAAAATAGGTAACGAGTTCTGAAGCATATTATGAATTGTGAGTATCAGTAATAAATAGGATAAAGAGGGCGATGTGACCTTTTATTATTTTCAAATTTAATTGAGAGATTATTTACAGCAAACATATAACATACTAATGGAGGCTGTTTAAAAGAAGGTGATTTTTTTTACAGAGCATCTCCTTACCAAGCATGACAAAAGTGCTCATTCAACATGTGATGTCTTCCAGTTCTGTTCCCCTCAAGTCAGAATGATCTTAACAAAAGCCTTCAAGCCTTCATTTTCTGGACTCATCCAGTCATCTCTCAAACTACAAATGAATGGGGCTCTTGTATTCCAAATACTAAAAGATCTTAGTATTTGGAATACAGTCAATTCTGTGCTGTTAAACTGAGTGGACTTGCTTTGGATGTAGATGCATGTGATAGGCTACCTGCAGAACCTACAGTGAAAGTGCATCAGATCTGACCCCAGACACTGAAAATGTCATCTCATTCTTTTTTTAAATAAATGTTTGTGAAATGAGCATCAGAACATCTTGCAATATAATATTTTAGGAGGGTGGAAGGTTGAAACAACAACAAATATTTTATTTGATTTTCAACACTGTTTGATTATCTGAGCAAAATCTAACAAACATGACAGAATGTGATATAAGGTTTCTGCTCAGGATTGTGTCTATATGGTAATTAAGGGCCAATTGTTCCTCCAGTTTCAAGGACAAAGACACTCTGATTAGAATGATCATATTCATCATATTATATCCACCAACATCAAAACATCTACTGTAACTCTGCAGGAAAGCAGTGATGCAGTAAAGAAAATGTTCTGTAAAAATGATAGCATTTTGAAAACAAACTGGATGCATATCTGATACAATATACAATCAAGTACAAATATCAATACAATAATGTCTTTTTAAAGCTAAAACATAATTTATGAAATTTCTTTAAAAAATGTAGGGCCACATCTGAAGAGTTGTGAAGAGCATTAAAAACATTTGTGTAATATCAAATGATTTACTTCTTTGCTCTGTGTGTGTTAAAGCACATGGCACAGATGACACTTTATTTTGTAAATCAAAGTATATTTTCCTAATGGAGGGTGCACTGTAAACAAATACAAGTGTCTTTTACTCTATCTGAGGCAGAACAAGCAGTCGATTCAGCTGCCTCACTCTTCTGAAACCCTCCAAAGTGCCAGTTACTGCATCATAAGTACTGAGGGTGACCCAGAGTGCAGTGAACGCTTAAAAAACAAGACCCTCTGTCCCACAAGGAGAAGGGACTTGTGTTCCTGTGTTAACAGTGAATAACAGACTAAAAAGACAGATAAGATAAAGACATAGCCTACAGAAACTCACAATGGCACAAACTGATGCATAAAGCAGCAATGTATAAAACAGGATTATTTTATAAATGTACATTACAATGAATTAAAGTACATTTGTGCATATTATTAAATATATCGCTTTTTAATGATTACAGTGAGGAGTAAGATTTATATAATGCATTGCAGCAGATTACTGAGAATTGGGGACAGTGTGTTGGGGGGGGGGGGTGAATGTGGTTAATTATCATAAAAATCAAATGCAAGAAATCCTAAAAATAGGCTTAATTTTCCTTATGCAAAGTTTAAGTTTTTATTTTGGGTTGAAATATGATCCATGAAGAAGATTTTGAAACTAAAAATATGAAACAATGAAGATAAAGAATATGTTAAAACTATACAACCAATAAACAAATAAAAAAAAGAACTAATAATAGTAGTAGTAGTAGTAATACTAATAATGTATAAAAAACTGACCAATATCATCAACATATGCAAGTCTAAAACTCTATGGTTTAATAAATTAGTATATGCTTTTATTTTCACTTCTACTGCAGTTTCTTTAAAGTACAGCCACAAGGGGGCGATTTATAAAACTTTATTTTGAATAGTTGCACTTATACATTATAGCTCTTTTTAACATTCATAAAAGTATAATAGTTTATTTTCTGACATTACAGTATATTTAACTTTGATGATATTCAATAGAGCTTATCTAAAATACAATAAGAATGTGGATACAACTTGGAATACACACAATAACATCTAAGAATGTTGACTGATCTCTAATTATGAGAATGAGAAATTAAATATACAAAAGAAGCCAATAAAAATATCGATATGGTTCAAAAAGGAGAAAGTGAGGCATTACATTGACCACAGGCAAGCTGACAGCTGCAAACTTCGGTTTCGTAATATAGGCCAGTAAGACAGTTTCAGTTCAGAGTTGTCAATCACATTCAATCTCATCACACAGTATGACTATAACTTCCAGAATAACTAACAATTGACATTTCCAAATTTCACAACCAAGGTTTTAAAAGGAAAAACAAAAGGACATATGCGTGTTGCTGTACAACATAGGATGTCACGAAAGATTATATTGGCCATAGATGGTAAAACGGTTAACTGGCATTTCACCCACTTGTTCCTGTCTAATGGCTGCTTTCCGCCCACATTGTGCTCTGCTGAAATGCTGAAAAGGAAAAATGTATGAGCTGAGTAACACATCATAAAGTTCCTGCTCCTGCAAGGCCTACGTATGTTTTGCTGAAAGTCTGCAGCTGCATGGATGAGAGAGACTAACAAGATATTGATCTTGAATTATATATCAAGATATCATCGTGCCTCTGGCATAAAACTTATTGCAAAAATACAGTTTACACCCACTCCGTCAGCATTCAGAAAGGTTTATTGCTTACCAAATATAGATCCAAACATAAACATGTGTTCAGTAACTACACACACACCAAGCTATAAATATTCCTTAGATTCTCTCTCAATTTGCACCCAGCTGGGAAAAGCTTGGTAACAAACAGGTATTCATACTAACCAATCACAGGCAAGACAATGACCTCATCTGTTGCTTAATTTCAAGGGACCAGTGGAAAATTCCCACATTTTTATAAAAACAAAAATAAGGACAGACAGACAGAGACAGACAGAGACACACAGACACACACACACACACACACACACACACACACACACACACACACACACACACACACACACACACACACACACACACACACACACACACACACACAGACAGAGAGAGAGAGAGAGAGAGAGAGACAGACAGACAGAGACACAGACAGACAGACAGATAGATAGAAGGACATACATTTTCATTGAAACATTGTTTTAAGAAAATTACTCTGTATCTTTCTTCTAGAAGATATAGTCCCTGAGTTTTATGTAATGTTATAAAATCAAAGCTGTAACTTTCCTGAATCACCAAGTAAAAAGATAAATAATAAAAAAATATATAATACAGCATTTTTGATGAACATGTCTGTAATTTGAATGAATTAAACTGGGACTCAGCATTAAGAATGAGCATGAATGCTGAATGCTCAGATGTGAGGGTGGTTATTCAGTTCCTGCTCTTCCTGTCCCCCATGTGGCGCTGGACTTCTTCATCAGGGGCATTGGCATGTGTAACTTTCTTGCGCTTTTTAGTCTGCAGAGCCACATGAAAACAATACACAAGGTTATTGTTCACATAAAATTATATTACTATATCACAAGCACCAAAGAGTCCCCCATAATGAATGAAACGGTGTCACTCGTATGTTGTGCAGTGTAGCTGGATTTTAGGCTGAATAATACAAAAGATGAGAGCAGGTGAACAAATAAGAGAGAACTGTGAGGTTCAGATGTGGCTCTAGGACACTCACAGATTTAGTAGGCAAAGCTTGAGCATTGATTTCCTCTGATGTAGCCATACGAGCCTCCACAATATGAAGCTGCTTCAGACGAGTTTTCTCAAGATTATCAATCTGAGTCTGCAGGGACTCTGGAAGACATAAACATTACACACACACATATTAACAAGCAGTAGTGTAAAAGCAACACATAATACAAACACAATACTAATAATAATTATATGTACAAAGTTGCTATCATTAAATTATAATATTATATATATAATTAAACAATTTAGATGATTTAAAATCATTATTTAATCTAATAAATTAAATGTATTTTTACATATATTCTCTGAAAACAATGTTGTATTAAAATTGTATTAATTCTTTTAAAAAGTAAATTATGTTTACATATAAAACTGATTAAGAAAACTATTATTTTTTTGCAGTGTATGTGCAATGGCACCTATTAAAGCAGAGTCAACACTGCATAGCAGAGATGTGACAGAGGTATAAGCCCAATCAGATGTACCTGTACATGAAAACCCACACACACACATGAAAAACCCTTGACAGTTTCCTTGCATTTACTTTTTACTGTGTCAAACTATATAGAAACAGTTAGCTTCAGCTTGTCAATAAATATCAAGGGATAAACTCAAACTTACGTCTAATAATGCAAACAATGAATGACTCTTTAGCCTTTAGCAGTCCACGAGCAGATTCCTGAGAATTCTGAAGCAGAAAGAGGAATTTCATCACTCCTGGTTCATCTCCTGGTCTATAAGCTCTGAAACACACACACAGATCTGGATGAGTAACCTCAAGGGATGTTGTTTCAAACACGTGTTAAAACTGTCATATAATATGTGTTTACTGTCTCTTTGCAATATTTTTGCACGCACTGAAGAGCAGACGCATTATGATGAGGACAGTGTTAATGACAAGTGGTAATGAGTTCTCCATTAGTGATGGGCTGATCCCATGTAACGTTCCTTACTACGTGCCACAGATGTAATCAGACACCGTTTTAGGAGTATGTGCTAAGAGAGAGTAAAGTTCAAAAAACACATTATTTTCCACATACTGTACATTATTGTTTCTCCTCTATGCCCGGCCTTTCTGAAACGCGTCGATTTTTACAAAGCTCATCGGTCTGAAAAGTGAGGTGTGCTCTGATTGGCCAGCTATCCAGTGCGTTGTGATTGGCAGAATTCCTCAAGCATGTGATGGAAATGTTACGCCCCTTACCATACTGTGATGCCGTGTCCAGCCAGAGCGACGAGACATAAACATTAAAACCCATTACAAACGAGGCATTTGTTGCATCCAGTGGGGACATAATTACTGATTATAATGACTGATACTGTTTTTTTACGCGTTGCATCGCGCCACGTAAACATAAAACCCTGTCTGCATTTGTGATCGGAGAAATGACAAACAACAAACAAACGCTACTCCACACTGCCCAAAACTCACGTTTGAATCATCAGTGGCAAATCCTTTAAATGAAAACGTACTTACGTGAGTCAGAACTGCCGGCACTGTAGTCTAACTTTACTCTCCCTAGGATCAGTAAACAGTCCTCCATAAAATGTGCTGCACACATCTGGATATTTGGGTTAATATCCGGAACGGTGTTGTAAATACAACTGAACCACTGATTTGTAGTCGTGTCCTCTTTTGGAAGACCAAACAAAGTAGTTTTGCTTTCACAACGGAAAACATGGTGGCCTAGCGTGAGCGGAAGCCGTGGCTTAGCGTGAGCTGAGGCCGGGCTAGAGTGAGCAGAGGCGGCGGGGTCGAGAACAGCGCACCCGGCGGATTCGAAGGAGCAGCAACCACATGCAACCACACCCCGGGCTGAACTCCGCTTCATCCACGTGAAAGCCAATCCGGCTTCGGATATCATCCTCTTTTGGAAGGCCAAACAAAGTAGTTTCGCTTTCACAACGAAGCACACAGCGTCTTCACGACATGGCGGCAGCGGCAACAATACTACAGCGAGAATAAAAGTTATGCCGTTTTTCTTTGCGTGAACATTTGGGCGGCGTTATGCAAATCTTCCCACATAGTGAGGTAGATATGTGGGGGCGTGTTAGAACGAGCCGTTTTAGGTAGGCGTGGTTGACTCTTAACTTTTATAAAGAATATCTCTTTGGATTTGAGACTTTAGTCTTTGCAACTTTACAGATCTTCTTTATGCACCAAGAGCTTGTAACACTCCAAAGAGAAAGGAAAAATTGGAATCGCATCATATGACCCCTTTAACGCCTGAGATCCGTGACCTCCTGCACCGAGGTCACGCTTTGAGGGGCACCTTGGGCTCAACTAACCTCTTCTGACCCGAGATCTCTAGACAAGTCAAGTACAACCCGCTTGAGCTACTTTTAAGATATCCTTAGTGGCCATTCACATAGAACACGTTTTTGCTTGGAATTGTGGTAAAAAAAAAACTCAAAAGTCTCGAAATAAGTTAAACTTATTTTAACTTGAGCGCCGCGCTGTCATGCGCGAGACGCTGCAAAAAGGTCAAATACATCCGTCTAGCGAGTGTTTACACAGAAAAATAGTGTAAAAGTAGCACACAGTGGAACTGAAAAACACGTTCTGTGTGAACCAGACCATTTCTTTGATGTTGAATATCCACTCAGAATTTGAATGACAGAAGCACATAAACAACTCTGGAATGACTGCAAGTATCCTTAAAAGTTTTTCTGCTGACAATCATGTCATATTTAAGTTTCTGTTGAATGAAAGTCTTGAACTGTAAAATAACTATAAATATAGTTTGACTGATTATGTACTTCTGATTATCCACATATCCTGATGCATGAAGAATACCCTCGAGAGAGCTGTACATACCTGACTCAGCAAGTCCCAACCTGGTTTTCATGTACTTCATGAGGACAACAATTGGACAGTTGGTGTTAACCAGGAACTGGTTATTATCTAAATACACAAACATCACATTAATATCAGCTTTTTGTCATTTACATAAACAGATCAAATAGAGAAATTTAAGTACACTCAAAGCATATTTTGTCAGTTACCAAGCCATATATAGATCTAAACATAGGATGCACATATTGCAGTGATTTTTAAGCAATTGAATTAATTTTCTCATCATTGACATTATTGAGATCCTTACCTCCATGTTTAATGTAAATAAACATTGCGGCAGAAGAGAACTTGACACCTCACTGACTGCTGTTCAGTTTTTAAGATGCTGCCTGCTGTAGCCGGGTAAGAAATTAGTGACAAAGACAAAGAGAAACATAATCATCAAGACTGTGATGTCACAATGACAGGGAATCGGAGTAAGATGAGGAAAAACACATTTAAACTAGGGCAAGAAAATACAACAATAGCATAATATGCACAATCAAAAGTTTTATTACATATTCATTCAACATGTTACCAAAATGAAATAGCAGTTTTATTAATCATTATGTGCACACCCTACAAATGAAAGCTGCCAAGTATTTTGAAGTGTATTTGTAACTTTTTGTAATTTGTAACTCAGTGTCATTATTTTCAAGCACCTGGTCACAAGGCGATTCTTAATGGATTTACAAAGTTAGTTTGCTTCAAGTTCACAAAGTCATAAATTGAACAAATACTTGTAGTATTAATTTGAACCAATAAATATATTGTTTTATAATTAAAAACCTAACAAAACTGGAAAAAGTGAAACTTGTGTTTTCAGTGCTGTCTTTTAAATAAATGCCATTGGTTAGAATTTTTTTAATAAGACATTAATGTATTTTTAAGGTTGGCTTACACTACTGTTCAAATGTTTGGGGTCAGTAAGATATATATTTTTAATATGTTTATTCAGCAAGGACACATTCAGTTGATCAAAACTTACAGTAAAGACATTTATAATGGCCGAAGATTTCTATTTCCTATAAATGTTGTTCCAATAAATGAACTTTCTATTTATCAAAGGATCCTGAAAAAAATGTATCATGGTTTCCACAAAAATATTACGTTTTTGTTTTTGAGATTAATAATAATAAGAAATTTTCTGGAGAAGCAAATTAGCATATTAGAATGATTTCATGTGATACTAAAGACTGGAGTAATGAAAATTCAGCTTTGGCATCACAGGAATAAATTACATGTTATAATTTATTCAGATAAAAAAAATACTTTTTTAAAAATTTTAATTATATTTTACAATATTACCATTTTCTACTGTATTTTGATCAAATAAAAGCAGTCTTGGTCAACATAACAACCCTAAACTTTTGGGTACACTGTAATATTGGTTGAGAAATGTCAACAATTACATTTACTACAAATACATAAACTCTGCTTACAATAAGAAATGAATGAGGTAAAATAAATGTGCAAAAGGAAACATCAAAATGTTCAGTAAGAATGAGCTGACAGTGCAGGTGAATGGTTAGTGCAACTTTGGCTTATGAGCTCTGCTGTCCTGCAGGCTCTTCTCCAGTGCTTGGTTCATCTGCACACTCTTCTCCAGTGCTTGGTTTATCTGCAGGCTCTTCTCCAGTGCTTGGTTTATCTGCACGCTCTTCTCCAGTGCTTGGTTCATCTGCACGCTCTCCTCCAGTGCTTGGTTTATCTGCACGCTCTCCTTCAGTGCTTGGTTCATCTGCATGCTCTTTTTCAGTGCTTGGTTCATCTGCATGCTCTTTTTCAGTGCTTGGTTCATCACAGTTGTCAGTTTGAGAAGCAGGACCGGCGTCACAAGAGGGTGTAAGCTCACACACGTCACAGGATGGCTCTGTGTAGTCATGCTGAAAAGCTTCCTTCAGTTCTCTGGAGATGTGAACCCAGCTCTGAGAATAAAACGAGAGGGTTATAGCGGATCCAAATCTGAAGAGCACATTTACTCATAATGACCTCGTAGGAATACAGTAGGAGTGTTAAAAGAGCAGATACCTCAACATTTCCATCATGTTTATGAAACAAATCTTGTAGGTTTTTGCTAGGGTCAGGCACGACCGGAAGAAAGATGATCCTTTTCCTGTACAGTGCTTGGTTCATCTGCACGCTCTCCTCCAGTGCTTGGTTTATCTGCACGCTCTCCTTCAGTGCTTGGTTCATCTGCACGCTCTCCTTCAGTGCTTGGTTCATCTGCACGCTCTCCTTCAGTGCTTGGTTCATCTGCACGCCCTCCTTCAGTGCTTGGCTCATCTGCACGCTCTCCTTCAGTGCTTGGTTCATCTGCACGCTCTCCTTCAGTGCTTGGCTCATCTGCATGCTCTTTTTCAGTGCTTGGCTCATCTGCACGCTCTCCTTCAGTGCTTGGTTCATCTGCATGCTCTTTTTCAGTGCTTGGTTCATCTGCATGCTCTTTTTCAGTGCTTGGTTCATCACAGTTGTCAGTTTGAGAAGCAGGACCGGCGTCACAAGAGGGTGTAAGCTCACACACGTCACAGGATGGCTCTGTGTAGTCATGCTGAAAAGCTTCCTTCAGTTCTCTGGAGATGTGAACCCAGCTCTGAGAATAAAACGAGAGGGTTATAGCGTATCCAAATCTGAAGAGCACATTTACTCATAATGACCTCGTAGGAATACAGTAGGAGTGTTAAAAGAGCAGATACCTCAACATTTCCATCATGTTTATGAAACAAATCTTGTAGGTTTTTGCTAGGGTCAGGCACGACCGGAAGAAAGATGATCCTTTTCCTGTATGTAAATATATAAATAATTTAATTATTATTACACAGGACTTCTGGAGGTAAATATATGACGTTTTAAAGATAATTTTAAGACCAAGTAAAGTACAAATGTAAGGCATAAACTAGAGGGAACACGATACATCAATATGTTCTCTATGTATCTCATCAATATGCTTTAACTTAAAAAAGTAAAAAAGAGTCAGCCACACCTACCTAAAATGGCTCGTTCTAACACGCCCCCACATACCTACGTCATTATCTGGGAAGATTTGCATAACGCCGCCCAAATGTTCACGCAAAGAAAGAAGGCCTAACTTTTATTCTCGCTGTAGTATTGTTGTTGCCGCCGCTGCCATGTCGTGAAGGCGCCTGTGTGTTTCGTTGTGAAAGCGAAACTACTTTGTTTGGTCTTCCAAAAGAGGACGATATCTGCTTCATCATGCCTAGAGCTGATCCGTGCTGGTTGCTGAGGAAATGCAACAACTTTGCGCTGTGGATCACCAGATTGGCTTTCACCGTGGACAAAGCGGAGTCCAGCCCGGGGTCGTCACATGTGGTTGCCACAAGCCTCCTTTGTCGAA